ACTTGCGACGTGCATATAAAAAAATATTTCTTTTATGTATACAAAATGTATATACGTTTTTCATGTCTTTTGTATTTATTATACAGTTTTTTGATGTTCAAATCTCGACTATTTGTTGTAAAAACTGTATCCTGTACGCAGTTATTACTGGAAAACGTTTTAGTTTAAAAAACAACGTACATAAACATAAAAGGAAAAAAGGGCACATTACTTTGCAGGTTTTCGTACTTTGTATGGGCTCATTAAAGCAAAGTAGCCTTTATACTCGTCAACTTTTATGCCTCATATAATGAGAGTATTATTTGAATCGTTAGATCAAAAAACTTTTTCTAGACTTCCATTGAAAGTTAATAAAATCTTGATAAAAAAAGATTTGCACACTTGCAGATCAAGTATGGAGTGTATATAAAACAATCTAGTAATGGTTTTTTGGTAATGAGAACAAGAACCGCAATGCCGCACAACCGGTTCAACCTAAAATAATTTGAATTAGATGTAGTTATTTACTTTAAACGTTCAATACCTATAGGACACCGCACCAATACAACAATACCATTGGGACACTGTAAAAAAAATAAGTAACTAACAACTATAAAACCGTATTTAAAAAGAATATAAACGAGTTATGAGAATTGAAGCTACCCAGATGACAAAAGTTTTTTTGTAAATAATCACTTAAGCAGCCACATCAAATTTGTTAATACATTTTGAGGTGCAACATGTTCCCTTTTTCTACATAAATAGATAATAAAAATTCTTTTTTCTAAATAAATAATAAATTTTTGGTGGAACGACTCACTTTTATTTAGTAACTACGATCAACTTCACGTAAAAAACAATCTTTTATTATTGTTAGACATTTTCTAGACAATAACATGTAATTACTATGAATCTATGACTCATAATTTATCTATGATCTATCTGCCATACATATAAAATAAATTTATTTTAAATAAATAAAATTGTTTTACGTTATGATTTTTTGAATAGAATGAAACAAAACATAAAGTAAATCTAATTTGTGGGAAAAAGCAGCTAATGCTAGAGCCACCTATGTGGTTTAGCTCCTCTGGAATCAGCTGATGAGTTGTTTAAAATAATGTCCAATCATGTTTGGTGCTATCTAATAATTGAACTACACATAGACCAGTCTGGAATTAAAAAATAATACATTTTATGTTCTTTTAAAAACTGAGGATTGATTCCTTCTAGCACTTACCCTCTCATATAGACTTATACCAAAGAAGGATACCTGGAGAGAGAACGAAGTTGGAAAAAAATTATAGTCTCTGTAGTATAATTATAGTATGCTTTAATTGTCGATGAGGTTTTGAAATAATATCATTGGATTGTGTTATTACAAGGACGGCTTGTTAAAAATGGCGTTTATTACTTCATTCTTCCTCTGTTTATCCCAGTATAAACAGATCGTTTGAAATTGGTCAATATTTAGTCAATGTTAGTCAAAAAATGGATAAAATGTTTAGCGACCAATTGTTGACTAAAAGTATATCAAAAGTATAATTGAATTTTCTTTTTACCCCATGTAATGTATACGTTTATTAAATGATGATTAAACGTTTACAAAATTGACTAACATGAGTCATAATTGTAATTTTTTAGTCAACATTTAATAAACGTATATATAAATAAATTAAAAAGTACGTTATAAACCTTTTAGTTTATACGTTTATTAAACGTCGATTAAACGTTTAGAATATTGACTAAGTCATTACTGTAAACGTTTTGTAAACGTTTAACACTTTATATAAATGTATTTGTTTTCGTTTCACATTTTACCTACTTTTACAAAGTAATTATTACCCAACAATCTATTTCTACTTTTAGACTCAACAATACAAACTTCAGTGCGTTATGAATAATATTGTTTATAACTAAAATAAATCTTGCCTTTCTTTACCCGATTTACTTTTTTTTTTTACAGGTATATTTTTTGCGAAAGATAAAGTTTTACTTTATCTTTCCCAAAAAATTACGTTTCCAATCGGCATTTGTTTTTAAAAGATAAGTTCTGAAACTGTTTTAACCATTTTTAAGCGTCTTCTAAACGTTCTAAAGTTTAGAATGTTTAAAAAGCGTTCTGAAGTTGAGAACGTATAAAAACAATCGCACAATCGAACTGGTTTGATACATATGTTTTTTTAAAAAAAGCATTTACATGTAGCAATAAAACATGTTTGGACATGTCTTCTGTTTTTAAATTTGTTTCCCAAAATTTACGTTAAAGATAATGAAATATTTTTAGTAGTTTTTAGCAAACTGGGTAATGATTTGTTGCAAAAGAAAAAAGATGATACACTTTATCTGCCATGCAAATGATGATCTGATTACTAATGTTGTTAACAAAGCTTGTTATCAAGTCTTTAGACAAGAAAAATACAAAGTTAATTCCTGAGACTTTTAGTTTTATATTTCTGAATATTTTCTTCTTAATTGTAATAATTTAAAATTATAATAGATTTACATTAAATTTTATTTATTTGTTTCTATTTATAACATTTCTTCACATATTTTCTGAGTTCAAATGTGAATATTTATTATTTACCAATTATTTGGGGTACGGCAATAAGGTAATAATAATAATAATAATAATAATAATAATAATAATAATAATAGCAATAATAATAATAATAATAATAGCAATAATAATAATAATAATAATAATAATAATAATAATAATAATAATAATAATAAGAATCAGGTTTTTTTCTTGCGGCTCGCTATTTCCCAGCAAACAAATAATATTTTTTCGACGTATATTTGACGTCGAAATACGTTGGAATACATCCAAAAAGTGCCATGAGTTTGCTGGGTTTTATTTTTTTATGCTGCATTGAGTTTATATATTGCATATACGAAAATTGTAAGCATATATTTTATTAATACCAAATGGATAAACAATTAAAAAATGAGCAATGCGCATTTTGAAAATACTTCCCCACCCCAATCAAAATTCATTTCACTCAATTAGATAGGATAATAAGTTAGGGTGTGTATACTTTGCTGCGATGCAAAATCTCTGATCTTTATAATAACTCTCCATAACAATTTCTATATAATATGTCATTATTTTTATATTAAGTATAGTGGCACAATAAAAGTTGATATAAAAAGGTTTAAATTTTTTAAATTTAACTTCCCTTAATAAAATGTCATTTAATTAATGAGACACCTAGATGATAAAACTTTTATTAGCACATTCTTTCAATTTACATTATAAAAACAATTCATTAAAGTGCTTTGAGAAACTTTTGATCAGTATTTTTTTTTTTACAGCAAAACAATTATCGTTTTACATGCTTGACGACATAACTAAAATTGTTGGATTCTAATTTTTGAACTTCCCGTCTTAATAAATAAATAAAACGTTCTACTTAAAGTATACGTATATTTTTTATACTTATTAAATAGTTTTTTTTTTTTAATACTTATAAAGTTATTTGCTTTTTATACTTATTATATAGTTATTTTTTTATATACTTATTATATAGTTAATATTTTTAACTTATCTTACTAGTAGTAATTTTCCAAAATTTGTTTTAATCAAAAGTTGCGCTCAAAAGTTTTCTTTGACTTTCCACGGAAAATTCTATTTACACTAAAAAAAACAAATTTATTCAACTAAAAAAAAATATTCATATATATTTTTTTTATTAATTAAATTTTAGAGACAAAAAGCAACTTAATGTAAAATTAATAAAAATAACGTATTAAAAAAAAAAAGTTTTTACTATAAAATGTAAATCTTCAGAAAGAGTCAAAATATAGAAGACATGTCCAAACATGTTTTATTGTCACATGTTATTGTTTAAAAAAAAAAACATATATCAAACCAATCCGATTGTGCGAAACGGAAGTGCTTTATCAGCACATTTTTGGAAAAATAAAACCTTTAAAATTTGTAAATTTTTAAAACATAGTTTTTACCTCGTGGGTTTTGATTGTAACCAAATTATAATATATTTTATACAAGAAATAAAGTATAGATTAGAAGGTATAGATTTGAATATTTATATATATCAAAATACAAATTTTTAAAATGTTAAAAGTACATATATGCACTTTTATAAATAATATATTATATACTTTTTGTATTTACAACCTTTTTTACAGAAACGCAAATATTTTAAACGTTAATAAAACCTATAACACTATATAATATATATTATATAAATAATATATAAATTTAAATTTAAAATATTATTTCGAGCTTTTTTTGTATTATCCTCAAGAAATTTTCTGAGAAAATTCAGACGCATTTGTATTACGCTTTGTTAATTTCTCATTTATTTCATTTCTCTTTCATTCTTCTTCTTCATTCACCTTCTCAATATTAATCTGAGTTTTCAATTTTAAAATGATATTGCTCATAATAAAAAATACGTGTTTTTGAGTTTATTTAAATATGACTAAATAAGTTTATAAACCTGAATTCTCCACCTACCAAAATTAAATTTTATGTGACTCGTTATTCAGCTTAGCTGTATCCTTTTTTTAAACCTGTTCCTGCACCCTCTGCTCAATCGAACCATTAGTGCTTTAAAATCATCTCCTGTCTTTATGTTTTTCGTTTCATATTACAGATTTTCTGTAAAAAGTCTTCAGCAATTAAAAAAAATTTTTTTATAAATAATGATAAGACAGTCGTAATAATTTTTAAGTGATATGTGGTTTTATTTTCTATTAAATAACATTATAGTGGTTATAATTATCTATTAGAAAACAAGTTAATTTCATTAACAAGTTTGTGATATATCTTGTTTTTTTATTTTTCGTCAACTCTTAAGTCTAAATAATCTTAATACTCAAAATATATAAAAAAAAAATGTATTATCTAAAATAAGTGTCATAAAATATTTTATGAGGGAAATGCCCTAAACCTTTCTTTACATTAAGACGTGGCAAGATTTGACGCACTTCGATTAATCATAATATATTGAATTGAATTAAATTAAATCTCGTAAAACTTATTCTTGCGCAATAGTATATTTATCTATAAGATATCTCAAATTATTTATTTGTCAAACATCAGTGAACACAACAAACAAAAAGCGTATTGACATTTTTCAATAATAAAAAATCAGAAAGAAACGATTACTATAATCTGTTGAAGGTATTGCAAAAAATTACTTACAATACTTTTTATTTGTATCGGAACTTAAACTAAATACATAGTAAAAAGTTTTTAACTTATTTATTTCAAACGATATTTATAATCTAGATTCCAGTATAATAATTTTTTATTTTTTATTTAACTTTTTCTTTTATTTAGTTATTACTGGTCATTTTGGTTTATGTTACTTATTTATAATACAACGTCGTACAGCACATAGATTCTACTGTAGCCATTATGTACGCTACGTTAGGTTTTTATGTATCATTTTGTAACGATTCAAGCCTTTAAAGTCCTCTTATTGGTATCAAAATAAATATAACTTAAATTACATCAACAAGTCAAGTGTTTTAACGTTAAAAATATTTGTTTAATAATATTATCTCTAAAGTATTCTAAAACTTGAACGAGTTTTATAAATATTTTTTTGCCAAATTTAGGTTGCATTTTCTCATATTCCTCATCTATATAAACACATGAATGCTATTCCAAGTATATATACATAAATGTTGTTCCAGTAATTTTATTTTTAATGCATAATATAGATGTTTTCAATTGTTCGATTATATACATTTCAGTTATTATTCCGGTAATGTGTTTTTTACGCGACACGTGTATTATTTAGTAAATAATGTTAAAGCGTGACGCATTAATAATATTAACTAAAAAAAAGATTGTTGTAATTTATGGTTAAATATTTATGATAAAAAATTAACTTTAATTTGACAAATATAAAATGTTTACATTTGTAAGTCTTTAAATATTATTCAGAAAGGTTTAAAAATGTAAATATAATAATATATTTAATTTTTAAAGCAAATCGTTTTTTTTTAAAGTACGAGTTATGAATGGAATTTAGAGGGCTATTTTTTATAAATATATAGGTATAGAAATATTGTTTGAACGAGTTTAACAAATTACTACACAAAATGGCAAAGTGTTTATTATTCTTCACTGCTTGTTTTGTAAGTTACTTTATTTTTTGTTTTTGTTGAAGTTTAAGTAAATAAAATAAAAACTGTTTCAAAGTGGCAATAGAGCAATGAATGAGTTTTGTATGATTTTAGATTTCAACTGTTGTCAATATTCCCCTAAACACTAATTGTGCTCCTGGTGAAGAATCTTTTCTAATGGGGTGTAAAAGCTGTGAAGTAAGTTTTTCTGTGCTTGCTGTAATCTCTTTATAAAGTTTTTGTTCTTCGGCTAGTTCAAGGCTCTAAACTCTAAAAAACAAAAAAACAAACATTAGTACAGGGTTTTCACAGTCAATCACAAATATAATTAAAAGTGCTTTAAAAATGGTTTGTTGAATTTCTTTTAGATTTCCTAATAACTCTTTAGTTAGTAAATTACTTTTATTTGTATTTTTATGCAGACTATGAATTTATAAGTCTTATAATTTATGCATTGTTTTGATTAAAACTGATGAAAACTGATGAAAAAAAGATAACTGAATTACTGCGACTTACTTTTATGTTATTAATATATAGTTGGCTTTTATTTAGAAAAAAAAAAAAACTATAAAAGTTTCTAAAAAATAAAAATTTTTTATGTCAAGAAGTTTTATTAACTTTTAATCTTTGTTTTTTATTTACTGAAAAAATTAGTCCATAGGGTAGAGCGGGGCTAGTTGAGCATAAGGGCAAGTTGGGCATTTCAAATATCTCAAAAACTGTGCATCACATGACAAAACATCTAATGGATGAAAGTTAGGGAATTTTAACGTTAACACAATGCGCAAAAAAAAATTTGTTGAAAAGCAGTTGAGCAAAATTTACGAATATTTTTTCTATTTTGGAACAAAAAAAAATTTTGCTATTTTTCTCTTAGATGCTTATAAACATTTTTTCCTGTATTACTGTTCTGATTAAAACCTACCTAATGCGTCACCTTGTCTAGTAGGGGTATACAGCTTTAAAAAAAATAATAAAACTGAGCTTTCGAACACAAAGTAACAACTTTGATGAAAAATAATTTAAGATACATTATTTAAATATATTTTTAAAATTAGTAGTTTTTAAATCGGGCTTCAAAGTTCAATATAATTGTATAAAATAATATTTTTTACTTTATGTCGCTTTCTTTCTGCAGTAGAATTCCGTTAACTCGATCCCTGGATAAGTAGAACTTTCACTAATTCAGACAAGTTTTTAATTCCCCTTGAATTCTTTATACATACCGAAAGCTTAGCTTAACTCGGACCTTTGCAAAGTCGGACAAGATATATACCCTTATAGATACAATATATATAAGCTTTATGAGTTGAATTTAGGTTGGTTATTATAGTCGCGATGGGCTGGTGTGCAAAAAATGCTCTACATGTCTTGACATTCAAACTCTTCTGAGAGAGTGTATTTCAACTGAAGACACATTTTGCTTGTGCCCAGAAGGCACATATCTGCAAAATAATACCATTTGTTCAAGGTGCCAAAAATGTGAAAAAGGAACCTTTCAAGTAGTTGACTGTAGTCATAACTTTGACCGAGTATGTCAAAAATGTCCAAGGGTATAGTTTACATTTTTTTACTAATATTACCTTTTTATTATTTGCAAATACACATACAATTAAACTCTTTGTTTATAAGAACAACTAAATATACAAACTCGTGTGTTTATTTATTTTTTTCATTAGGGGCAAACAACAAATGGTACAAATTCAAAAACATGCTTTGTTAAACCTAACCCACCAGGTAAAATTATTAGTTACAGAAATAACAAAAGTAAATTTTGCTGTTGTATTATTATAATAATAACAAAAGTAATAATAATAATAATAACGACAATAATAATAAGTTAGAATGAAGTACAAAAGTAAAAACAAAGCAAAAAGATTTTCTTATTTAATTTCAAACTTATTTTAGATCATTCGTTTGATTAATACCATTCAGCGTTAAAGTTATCAATATAAAATTTGTAACCCCCCAGTTTATTGGGGATTCAAACTTTAAATGGTCATTATTTTCATACGCTGAGAGATAATTGTATGAAATTTAAAATTTATCAAAGAATATTAAAAAGTTGAATATAAAAAAAAAAAAAATATTCAACTTGTTGCTCTCACGTGAGGCGCAGATATAGCTAAAGTTGTTAGCTTTTTTGTTCCTGGGCTCCAATCAACGCAATTTTTCTCAAAGCATTTTAATTTAACTTAAGTATTTTTATTAGGGTTATGAAATTTTTTGAATTTGTTTTGGCCATACTTCTATAACCTGAGAAAATTTGATTTAACTGATAAAAAACAGGTTTAATGGTAGTCTAGTTGCAAAAATATCCCCCCACCTTGATAATAACGTGATTTTTCATAGATTACATGAGGACACGTAAAGCTTATTTCCAACCCATTTACGAACAGCCACAAAAATAAATAAAACTAATTGTAAATTATATTTAGTATTTATAAACTACATATCATTGAAGTGGATCAATAAAAGTAATCATTTTCAGCAAGTTAGTTTTAACGCTTTACAGGTCATTCTTCTCAATAAATTTCACATTTGCATATTCCCATTTTTTTGAATTTTGATAGAGATCTTTCATCAATTTAACGCCTCGTTCAGCAATAATGTTTGTTCTTGGAATATGAACTAAACTATCTTCTTTTCTCCAGTGTTTCATAAAGCACTTTAAAGCAGTTGCACACATAATTTCAGTCAATTCATCAAGCATATAGTCATATGATTTGTCATCAAAGAGTTGTTTGCTGAACCAAAGTTTTTCCACTGACTTACAATAAAAGTTGCTGCACTTTTAAGTTCACACCTCCATGTTCGTATAAGAAAATAGGCAAGAAGAACATATGATGCTCTAGAGTTCCATCTAGCACTGTTCAATGAAGGAAGCTTGTACCACTTAATTTTTGGTAATTTTTTATGATTTTCAAAGTTACTAAAAGCTTCACATAAATGCAGTAGTGGTGTAGTGGTAAAAGTGCTCGCTTTGTATGCGAGAGGTTCGGAGTTCGACTTCCACCACGTTCCTGGAAGTACCGCGCTCAACTTAATTTCTCTGCGCAGTGGCCTTGCTTTTCAAGGTTCGTGTTTCGGAGTTAAAGAGTTGAGAGAGGGTTGTACCACAATTTACAACAAAAAAAAAAAAAAAAAAAAAGTAGCCTCCTCGACTGTAGTGGCCCCCCTCGGGCCTTGGGAAGTGAAAAGTAGGGATGCAGGATTTTTTGAAGTTTGAGATAACTAACTTCCAGATATGGAGCCACATAAAGTTTGAATCCCCCTCAATTTGAGTGGGTTACAAATTTTATAAGACCATTATTATTGAACGCTAAAAGATTGTTTTACAAAATTAAAAATTTCTCGATGAATATAGATTTAGTTGAGAAAAGTAAAAAACTTATTTTATCAACTTGTTGCTCTCACGTTTGAGGCAGGTGCAGCAAAAATTTTGGGGCTTTTTTGTTCCCAGGCTCCTATCATCTCAATTTTTTGCAAAGTATCCAAATTTGATATAACTATAAACATATAAAAGTTTCAAGTTCGCTCCATGTCTGAAAGTTAGTTATTTCAAACTTCAAAAAATCCTGTATCCGCCCCTGCCAAGTTTATGTAATTATTAGGCTCAGCTTCATATGTATAATTTTTTTGAAGATTTTCTTTATTTTTGGTTAAGTCCTTCACAAATTTATAATAAAACAATGACTTGTTGATTTGCAATTTACAAAATGATCCAAAACGTGTTTTAAAAGGAGATCCATTATATGATGCTGATATCCTAAATATTGTGGTTTAGTGAAGCCTCTGGTTTCCATTTCATTTTGTATTTTTACAACTATACCATTTAATTTTCCTGTTTCAACTAGTTTTGCGTCACATATAATCATTGAAATATATTTCCATGCATCAAAATCATTTAAAAATTTTTTAACAGCTTCAAAAATATCATTGGATTTTCCACTTTCATATCTAACAATTCAAAAGTTAATTTTCCTTTTCTCATTTTGAAGTATCACAACTTGGTATTCAGTCTTGTTTATTTTCTTTCTATCAAAATGTAGGCAGAATTGTTCTTCTTGTACCATTTTAGCAACAATTTTCTTCATGCTATTCCCTTGCCTTATAGTTGATCTCCATATTCTTGTTTGACTTGGAGTTTCTATTTCAATACCTTTTTCAAATAACCTTTTAACCGATTCTAGCTGATTTATTTTAACTTAAAGACTCAGTTATCACAAGATTAGATGCTAACTTGGTTCTATTATATACTCTCTTTCTTGATTTTTTTTAATTCCACTTGGTTCATAATTGTCTTGTGAATCTAAATCTGAATCACTTTCTTCTGATGCAGTTGAACTGTTAAGTGGACAATTATTTGCTTTGCTTGTAGAAGTTGTATCTTTTGCTTTACAAACTCTGACTTTTGAAGGATGTAATGACACTTGTGTGTTAGTACTGTGACTAACTTCTCCTGAACTTAATAAATGTATGTTATAAAATTTTTTATCTTCCAGAATAAGCCATATGCCCTTAATATTGGTGATATCGAAAAGATCTCCAAAAATAGAGCATTCTTTCTTTTTGCCAGGCTTTTTAAGATACTTGTCATGTTTTTTTATAACCTTTCCAATTTTTCTTCCAACTGATTTTTTAAAATACTTGGAAAGTTGAGTTTGTTCCATAATTTACTTATAACGACAGCAGTTAACTTTATTCTTTCTTTTCTGCTTTTTTCAATTGATGCCAGGTAGTTATAACGTCCAATAATAAAAGTTTTTTTTAGCATTCTATAATGATAAATGAATCCAATGGTTTTTCAATAAAGGGTAGACCAATTCTTGATGTTATACGTTTTTCAAACGAAACTAAATTTTTTGTCTATACTCTTGAATATTTGTCAACAACAGTTTGGCTATACTTATTTGACATATTAGAAAATCTAAAATGCAAGGATAATATATGTTAGTAATGTTCTATGTTTTAATATTATTTTAATAAAAATAATTTTCTTTAAAAATTTACTGTATAAAGATATAAAATTAATTAAAAGACATTGAAATAGGTAAAGACAAGAGAAATGAGTAAAACATAAAACGCATTAATATTAACTATTTTCTGTATTTGTGTAATATTTCCGTTCAGATTAACATATTACACAAGCACATAAAATAGTCTTTACTTAAATGTGTTTTATTCTTTATAGCAAATTTAAAAATCAAGTATTTCCATAATAGTCAATATTTTTATAGCATAACTAAATTGTGGGTGTGGAGGAGGGAGGGGGAAGAGGGAGGGAGACATTTTAAAACTATATTCAATATTACTATTAAATTTTACTACTAACTATCAATATCTCAGGTTTTAAAACTATGGCCAATTAAAACTGTGACAAAAGTTAAAAAAATAATAACCCTAATGTTTATACTTTTAGTTTATACACATAATGTTTGGAGTTTCATGTCTTGTAGTTTGCTATTTCAAACATGCTGAATCCGCGTCAGCTATTAATTGGTTTTTGTTTTTTTAGATCTTGTAGAGACAAAAAAAGAAACAGTCATAAAATGGCCTTATGTTGTCGGAGGAGCCGCATTAGTATCAGTTTTATGCGTTGTATTTTTAATTTATTATTTTCTAGTAAAGCGTTTTAAAACACGGAAAAGATTTATAGGTATTATTTGGTTGTATTTTTTAATTTTTTGTCATAGAAGTCATTAATTTTGCTGTCTTTTTTCAAAATTCTAGAAAAAGATATAATCAGGTTTTTCAGAATACTTTATTAAATATTTACGTTTTGTTTAGATTGCAGAGGAAAAAATGTTTCGCTGTTAAATGAGAATGTACTATCTGATTGCGCAACTGAGTTTAACATCGGTAATTCTAATTTATAAAATACCCTAGGTATTCAAAAACTGAAAGTAAAGTTTTTTGTTTTGTTTTTAATTAAGATTATAAAGTTGCAATAGTTTTTTATTACGTCGTATAGTTTTTAGTGTCTAAAAAAAAGTTATTTTTAATAGCGTCCTCAAGCGAATGTGCTAATCAAACTTGGCAAAAGCAGTTAAAAGATGTTCCTGCTGACATCTTGTTTGAATTGGGGAAAAAACTAAACCCAGCCTTCGCTAACAACTGGAAAGTTTTAGCTGGTCAGCTGGGTTATACATATGAAGATATTGCTCATTTTGACTTGTCTCCTAAGACAGCGACTGTAGACCTTCTTCATGATTGGTCAACTGGAGAGAATGCTACATTGAACATTTTGTACGATAAACTTATACTAATTAAACGGCCGGACGCAGCAGAAATTGTAAGGCCGTATTTATAAGGAGTCTAATTGAAAATAAGTTTTTCGCTACCGCAAGCTAATGACAGCAATTTTTTAATCTTTAATTATTTTGTCTCGTACTTTTTTTAATCTACTGTTTTATGTTATTAAACGTTATATTTATAAAACTGAAATTTTTACATTTTTTATTTTTTATTTTGTCAAAACATTGTTAAAATGCTACTTTTTTTTCTCAAGCAGTCATCTTAATAATAACCTTCAATAATTCAATAAACTATGTAACGCAGCATTTGGAATAATAGAAACCAATAACCAATTAGTTATATAAAAGTCTTAAAAGTCTTATAAAAGTCTAGGAAATGAGAAAAATTTCGATTATAGCTGTTCCTAAAAAATACTACGTTACATAATGCACACGTTTTTAAATGACTACATGACAATCTCTTTTTAATAAAAAATATCTACTTTAAAAAGTCTTCTTTGAAAATTTCCTCAGATTTTACTTTTTACTATGTTATCAAGTTTTGTTTCGTTATTTATTTTCTGATAAACGATAAAAAGAAAATTTTATTATCAATTATTTATTTGAAGATTTGAATTTTAACGGTTGTATATATCTTAGAGTGTTAAATATTTTTGGCAAAACTAAAAAAAATTATAATGTCTAGTTTTATTTGTTTATAGTATTTCAACGTAATATCAGAATTAAGTATTTATTTTTTGATTGTGGATTGTAAACACTGAGTTTTTTAAAAAAAATTAATTTTGAAGTGCTTAAAGTTTTTCAAAGTTCCCCAGTTGTAAATACTGTATTACTACGTCAATATTTCTATCCTCGAAAGCCTGATTAAATGAAAAATGCAAAAATTTACTAAAGTTACTGAACAAAATTCAGTAATTCCCTACCAAATAAAATTTTTAAAGTTTCATAAAAAATAAAAAATTATAGAATTTATATCATAGGTTAAAATAATTTGTAATCACTACAATGTATATTTTTTTCATTTCAAAAAATATATATATATAGTTTTCATTAAATAATGCACTTATTTAACTTGTACAAATATTTTTTTTGTGAGTGTTCATAAGTAATTTTCATTAATCGTATCAAGCAATGCTTTTTATTGCGGTATTTTAATTGATAAATAGGATAGCTATAAAACGTTTAAAATCAAACATAAGCTTTATTTTATAACAAAGTTTATTAATAATAAAAAAAAAACTAAAACCAAAAAATACATAAACCAAATCGATATTTCCTAAATATTTTTTTGTGAACAAGAATTAATTCTGAAAAATGTTTACTGCTTCAGCTTATTCCAATGCATTTGTTTTTAATTCTTCTAATTTTTAATGCATCTAATTTTTAATTATATTTAACGCGCTTTTTAATAATTAATAATCAAGATATATATCTTGATTATTAATTATATCACAAAATTGATTGTGATATATAAAATATGTATATCACAACCAACTTTGTGATATAATTGATATATTATTTCATATTAATTATAGTAATCTATATAATATATATATATATATATATATATATATATATATATATATATATATATATATATATATATATATATATATATGTTTTAAACAAGGCAGGCATATCTTGTTTAAATGAAAATGATGACTTCTTTGTACAATTGCATACTGACGAATTAGGTGTGTTGCAATATTGACTTGTTGAGAAAACCTTTTTTTTTTCATAAAAACAACATATATCTGTTAAATGATCAGGACTGTGAATCCAGAATGATAAAAAAGATTAAAATGATAAATTTTGAGGCATCATAAAAAATAAATGTTTATAGCAAAAAAAACCTAGACCTTAGAATCTTTTTTTTTTTTAAAGAAAAAAATCTTCTTAATATCACAATCGATTGTTTAAATTTGTATAAGATTTTAAATAGATACATTGTATAGGTAAAATGAACATCATAGTTTTATAATATGATATGTTAGGATCGTTTATTAGCAATTTTTATAAACTATATTTTTATAAAGCTCTTTCTTGGTCGGAATTCTAGTATTTTATATAAAAACTGATAGAAATGCTGTATTTTGACAACTATATGTAGTTAATATACGTCAGAACCGATAAGAACTCGGATCTATAGTAAATTAAGGCCCTTTTTTTAAATGATTTTAACTAAATTTATGCTTACGCCGATGAGCGAAAGTGATCTAAAGACTCCAAAATGGTTTTGAAATTAACATTAAAAAAAAAAAGTTTCTTTAAATATTAAAAACTTAAAGCAAAAAAAATTATACAATCTAAAGTTCTTGTTTGGACATAATACATTGATAAAATGATGCTAATTCCAAATAAAAGAATTCGAATAATTTGTAAATCGCCTTAACTACACCGAGTTCGCTGAAAAAACGATAAAAATTACTTCAGAGTAGTAACTAAAACACAAATGTTTCTCAAGTATTAAAAATTTCTATTTTTTACTAAAATTTTAAATAAAATTACCGACATGCTATACCTTTGAATTTTTTTTGATAGATGTTCCATACTTTATTGGTTTTACTCTATTTTATCGGTTTGGGTGAATTTTTCTAATAAAAGTACCAATTTTAAAGACTTACTGTGTTTTTTTAATAAAGTTTTATTTAATAAGACTTTTTTATGTTCATGATGTAGTGGAAATCTTTTGTGTTTTTCAACTAAAACATTTCACTTTATTGTTTATCATTTTATATTTATTTATTTTGACCAATATTCTACCAGTGATATGGTAATTACTTATTATTTTTACAATTTATCAATATCATTTTATTTCATTCTATTATTATTTTTTTTTATTAATCTTTTAGATTCCATCTTTTACTTTTATTTTGTTATGTTATTTGATATTGAATTCATAATTCTCATTGTCCATATTATTTCAATAAAAATAGTGTTTTACAAAATTTGTTTTAAAGTAAATAAATTTTTTTTTATCTCATTATTATTTATGGCTATTTTTATTTACATATCAAACAACATGCTGTGCTAAATATAATTAATGCAGATTTTTATCACATTTCAAAAATAAATTCTTTTTAATATATGATTCAAATCTAATATCAAAACGATTAAAAACCATCATCATTTAAATCAAATATCAAAAGAAAAAAAAGAAAACATTTTAAATAAGATAAGTTTAAAAAAAATTGATGTTCGGTCCGAAATCATTTTAATTTAGATCTTTAGCAAAAAAATTTTAATGTGCTTTCACGACTCACGTATGACGTATGTATCAATGTTAGACGTATGTTTAGTATAAAACGGATGCTTTAGCGATTTAAAATGACAATTTAAGTACTTCAAAAAAAAAAAAAAAAAAAAAAAAAACAGATGAAGTTATAGATAAACTAATTAAATTTAATCGCAAACAAAAAAATAAAAAACAACCAAACACAAAACAACTTGTATGATTTTGTTTTTTTCCATTTAGCCCTAACTCTAATATAAAAATAAACAAGTTAATAAGCAAGATGCTATAAATTTTTTAGGAGTTATTGTTGATAAACTTTTATCATAGCTTCCACAAATGAACTATATGCCAACTAAAGTTAGTAAAATCATTGGTATGGTGGATCAAGCCCAAACATAAATTATAATTCTAAATCTAAATTCTGCATTGTATTTTTACATTAACTTGGCAGATAATACGTATTTGAAAAAACACGCATTATTTCCCCAGACGTATGACTATAAAACATGTTTGTAGACAGCGAAATGCGGGCGATAACACTAAACTTTTAATGAAAGACATAAAAAATTTATTTATTCTGACAACAATACTCCTGTAAACTACTATAAGTAAATTTAAAAAAATTCAAATCAATTTTTTTTTTTAACAAAACAATATAACACATATAAATTACCTAAAGAAGTAAACAAATGTACAGAATATTTCATAATCTATCGAAGATCTAAGCTATTGAAATCTTTTTAGAAAATCAAATTAGCAAGATATGGCAAATATGACGAATATGGCAAATATAGCAAAATAATTAAAGCCAATTTAGTTTCATACAAAAGATTATATTTTAAGTTTTGCGGAGTGATTTTTACAATCTTTTAAATTTGAATTAATATAAGTATTGTATATTTTTTATTTATTTATGACAATATGTTTATAAATGTAAACTATAAACGGATATTTCGTCGCCTCAGAGCAAAAATGTTCTATCTACAAGTTTTGAAAAATTGAGATGAACGTGTAGATAAAATACAATCCGTATTAATTTAAAGGAAATATTTTGAAATAAATATAAAGTATTGAATTATTATTAATTTCTGAGAAAATCATTTTATTATAAGTAGCAAAATTTTGATTTGTGATATCTTAACTAAGTTTGTTTTCATTGCCCTGAAAAATGCAAATTTTGTAGATAGAACACTTTAGCTCTGAGGCGACGATTTGTTAACAATTAAGTTGATTTTAGAAATATATTACAAATTTGAAGTAGGAAAAATGGTTATTTTTATTATTAAAATCAAGAAACTTAAAAATATTTTACAACCTAAATAAATTTTTTTAGATGATTACAAGAGAAAAAATAACTTTTCTTAAACATAAATTACTATATTTCTTTTCAATCTAAGAAACTTCAATAAAAATATACTTTACATTTATCTTTCTACTTAAAAATAATCGATAGAAATAGATTATTAAGAATTAATCATTTTTGTGATAATTTAAGCAAATTTTTAAAGCAAGTGTTTTTGTTCTTAATTGTTCTTCCATTCCACCTATGTTGAGTTCTTTAGCAAATCCTCCAATTTTCTCGATTTCTTGACTTGAACTACAGTGTGTCTATTGGTATATTCTGAAGTGTAAACAAAGGCATAGACTTTCTCAAATTTTAGAAAATGTATGCGCAAAAATCACCAATTCTTAAAAGTGCTGCCAGGTATGTTTTTGTGGCACCTGAAAGCAATGCTCCTGTTGAAGAGAAGTTCAGTCAGGGTGGCCTGATTATGAGCCCAAAGCGTGCAAGTTTAAATTCTCACTATTTGTCAGTTATTGCTTTTAAAATGCAACACAGATAAATTACTATATTAATTTTTATAAAAATCAGCATTAGTAATATTTTTTTATATTGAATGAAAGAATGACATTTTTAGTAAACTATTTATTTTGAAATAACGAGTTTAATTATTTTAACATTTTTGAAGTTATAAGTGTGAAAGTTAAAATACTTGGCAACTGGTAACCAAAACATAACTGATGGTAAGTGGGACGATTTTTTGCAATAGCTCAACTGAATGATCTCTCATTACATTTAAATGTAATGGAAGATTAAAAGTGTTTAAAGTTGACTCAGTATTAAAGCAAGTTATTCTTTTAATTTACAGAAATTTAATACTGTATGCTGAACAACAACAACAAAAAACACATAAAAGCTTATTCTTTATAGCATTTCGAATAATAAAATTTTGTTGATTATCAACAAAAATAATGCGCCTCTAAAATTGAGATCCATTCAAATTTTAATAGATGTTTGAAATAAATTAAATAATTAATATTCGATATTTGTAAATGTTTAATAACTTATTTATATAGATTTAAACAGTATATATTTACGGGTGTGTATATATTTAGTACTAGATATTTATAGGTTTTTAAATGCTAATTAATTTTACAGATACTTTAATATTATGCAATTTAAAAATTTGAAAAAAACTATTAAATAAAATTGAGTTAATAGTCTAGTTAATTTTTTAACTTAAAATTAAAAGTATTAAAATTAAAATTTGATTTAAAATTAAAAGTAAAAAAAAAAAAAAAGTTTAAATTAGATGAAAATTGAATTGTTTTGCTTGCAGTAATCAGTTAAAAATTTTTCAATTTCATAAAAATTTAAATAATCAATAGTTTTTTTTTAATTTTTCCGATTCATCTTTTTTCATACCTATTATAAAAGAAGCAGATAAAGTTAAAACAATAAAAGAAACAAACAATAAAACTTATAAAAGAAGCAGATAAAGCAACAAACAAGGAAAGACAATTTTTATAAATGTTTGGTAACCCTAATGGTGGATAAACCGGGTTCAATATAAAGTAAACTCAGAATCGTCAGGCTAACTCAATTTACTAACAACGTTATACATTGTTATGATCCAATTTAAACAAGGAATACTCATAAAATTCAGATACTTTACGAAGGGACAGATAATTTGCCACTTGATGACTTGTTATTTGAGCAACAGTTCAGAAAACTAAAACTTATAATTAAAGGCATTAAAATCAAGTTAAATTTATATTAAGAAAAACTTTGAATGTTCCTAAAAACCAGCAACTAATTTTTGACACTATTTTACAAACAATAATTACGTTTGTTTGCTTTTAAAATCAGTCTTCAGTCAATAAAATTCCTGACTTGGCCTTCAATAAAAATGGCCATGATTTAAGGACGTTTAAAAAATATTGTTTAGACAATCATTTAGGGCTACGATTTAAGGACATGTAAAAATAAATTCATTGAACAAGCTCCAAATAAAAACTAGACTTTTTTTGTTTTTTTCTTTTGTAATATATTTAAACATTATTAAAATCTATATAAGAAAAAATTAATGAAATAATTTGAACTAATATTAAAAACCATTAGTAAAATTTGTATGAGAACCAAAACTTGAACCTTCACATAAATATATTTACATTTCGTAAGTTCTTTGGAAAATTAATAAATGCAACTAATGATGGTCGGTTGATGATGGTCGTTTTTTTTACGTCTTTTCTCCTGAACCTTTCTGTAAAATAATAAAAGAAAAAAATGAAATAAAAAAACTAATAAAACTATTAAATATTAAAAAACCAATAAAAAGTAAAACCAACCGTTGTATTTGCGCAAAACGAAGAATAAACGCTTCTCAGATCTTCAGTAGTGTACTGCAATATTAATAATAACAAATGCAATCAATGTAAAGTAAAAAAAAATCAATCAATGTCAAAGTAAAAAAATCAAATGTCAATCGATCAATGTCAACCAATGTCAAAGTAAAAAGAATGCAATCAATGTCAAAGTAAAAAAAAAAAATAATAATTGTAATTATACTTTGAATTTATTTCAAATTAGGCTTACTTGATTTAAGACCATAAATCCTTCTAAATTGACGCTGGTTTTTCTAGCACAATCCTGACAGTGAACTAGCAACTTTTTGTTCATTTCTTTTACAAACAAAATATTAAATACTTCGACTTCGCATGTTGAACAGTAATGTGCCGCTTCGTTCTTTTCGCGGCCGTGCCAAGTTACTTCAACGTTCATATCGTTTAGTATTGCGTAGGTTTTTTCACAATATGCTAACGAACGTTCCAAACAAATTCTTGACAAAAAATTATAAAATTTAAACGAACCAACAAATTGAAACACCAGTTTTAAAAACTCAAAACAATCTTACTTTAAATGGTTTGCAAATCTAGACTCCGGGATCCGAATGTTTCTCGCCATTCCCCAGCATAAATTAATCATGGGAACGATAGATTTGTAATCTAATAGATTAAATTTCAAAATATTATTAAAGTTCTTATAAATTCAAACTAATAAAAGTAATACGCATTTTAAAAACAAAAACAAACAAAAAACAAACAATCAAAACAAATTTATTTAATATAAGTACAATCATGATAAATGCAATATTAATTAATTATTAACTTAAACGAAACTTAATGCCAAACAAAATTGTACCTTGTAATTTATTCCATTCGTATCTTTCTACAGCTAATTCGAATTGATGTGCTATAATCATATTAGTTACATGAAATTATTACTGTAAAAAGCATAAATATTCTGCAACAAACAAAAATTATTCAAAAAAAAATTAAACTAAAAGCCAATACTAAGAAAAGTACAAAATACAATTAGAAAGCTATTATTTATTGAAAACTACTATTATACCAATTAATGGACCAACATTCCATGCAATATTGTTACACCAACCCTAAAAGTATGAGATTTTTTCCCGTTAAACTAACAAAATTTTTTTTAAAAAAAAAGAAAATTTAATGAAACTTTTTTTCTTTCAATAAGTTGTTACAAATGTTATAGAATCTTTAAACTTACAGATGATTGCACCCAATGTACGTTACCACAGTTTAACCATACAAGATCTCCAGGTTTTTGGATAAAGCGATAAACAGGTATTCCAGCCTCATGAAGTTCATCCAATATTGGCCACCAGGATCCAGATAGAAAATTAATATTATTCCTATATGATAAATTTTACTCTAAAAAAATCCATGTTAACATTGTTGAACATATGTTAACATTGTTGAAATAAAAAATCTAAAATTTCGAAAATAAATAAAAAAATATATATATACTTTTCACAAAGTTCATGGAAAACTCCCCAGTATATATTGTCGCAACTAAACCATTCACAATCACCAGGACCAATATTGATATTTACAGCGGCAAATAAATTATTCTCTTGGTGACCTAGAAATCATAAAAATAAAATATATTAAACAACACCTTCAAAACTTAAAGGAACAAACACTAAAAGATAAATCATGAATTCTTTAAAATGAATAACATTACCAGGTGTTCTGCATCCAGGTATTTTCATATACAGCTGGACTGTGTTCATGCCAAGTATGTTGTGCCCAACATGACAAAGCATATTACTACCGCATACAACCTTAAATTAAAAAAAGGGCAAAACATTTTACTTAAAATTTTAACTTTAATATTTTCTTAATGTTAAATGATCTATAATTTTCTTAATGTAAAATGACAACAATTGTCATATTTAAAATGACAACAATTGTCATATTTAAAATTCCGACAACGAATAACTACCGAATAAATCAAACCTTGCAAAAAAGAGGCAATTTTGTAAGTTCAGCAAGTTGAGGCTTCCACCTGAAAATTAAATTATTTTTAATATTTGTGCCGTTGAGATCAAAAATGAAAAATTAATATAAAAGAAAAACACTTCAATCAATTATGTATTATTTCAAAGATTTCTATCATGAATCTTTCAACTTTCTTGCCATAATTATAACTTTTGTTATTCTGACTATTAGAATTTTTAGAAAGTTAAAATAATATATAAAAATTAAAATAAGATATAAAAATTAATCTCTTAAAAACTTTAGAAAAAAGTTTGAAGCTATTTTGATATGATGATATGAATGTTTACTTCAATAAAAGGTTTATTATTTTTGAATTAGGAAAATGATAGGATCGCACAATTTAAATGACTGCCTAAAATTACTAAGCAAAATGTTAGACATGTTTAGCATTAGTCTTTCTACTGATGTAGTTTGCATAACAACTGATGATGCTGCTGCTATAGAAAAAAAGGAAATATTTCTTCTGCATAATAGAAAAATGCAAATTGGTTTTTCAACTGCTACTTTGATTTTCATTACATTAAATTGTTGTTGATTTAATTTCTATGAAAAAGTTAAAATTAATGAGAGTACTAAAAGACAAAGGCATTATTATTACCTTAAAAAAAAAAAAAAACAATATCTATTTATGAAAATTTACAAATCCTGCAAAAGATTTTATTATTATTTTTTAAAAGTCAATTTTGAGTGCAGGAGTTGCAGCTTACACAATTTCCTGACTACTTCACACTTTAGGTCTGAGTAGAAATAATGCTCAAAGTAGATGACCATTTGATTTGCCTACTTTTTTGATTAATCTGAGACTCTATGGTTAAAAGTTTCAAGAATAGAAAGTTAGAGACATTGCAAAACACAAGATAAGTCATATGCTAAAAGACTAAGGAAAGATAAGTTTTCTTTATTAAATCAGGAGGTTAATCAGAAAGATAAGTTTTCTTTATTAAATCATTTTTAGCAGCAAAGAGGACAAGTAGAAGAGAGAGTTTATCAAATGCTCAATACTAGTCAATACTAATACGCCAAACATGCCTCTCTAAAGAAAGTTTGTTTAAGGTCCAAATAATCACAATAAGCAGACCATTAGTTGTACTGTTAAAAATAGCAAAATGAGAGCAATTGAATTGTTTTCTGAAGGGAAAAAAGTTACCACTGCTTGAGTGCAACCTTCTATAATATCTTTGCAGCACTGCAAAGAATGGATATGAAATTCACATTTTTTTTCTTAATGCAATTAGAAGATCTTTTTTCCATGGAAACTTAAGTTGAGCAAAGCTTTGATTGTAGATTAGCGTTAGGAAGGAAAGGAATAAAATATTATTCTAAATATAAATTTGAAAAAAAAAGCTAGTTTTAGTTTTGGAAAACTTGTTAGAACACCATGATTCAAAGACTTAAAAAAGTTAAAAAAGCAGATCTCTGGTGAATTTAAGTTAAAAAAATCTCATGTTGTCTGATGATGAATTGAAGGTAATTAAAAAATTAGCAAATTTTTAACTTTAAAATTTATTTTGAGTTTCCTCATTAGAAGATAACATGTTATTTTCTAACGAGAAAAGGAAATGGTTCTGAGATTGGCAGATAGCAAGGTTTTTAGAACTATGTAATAGCTTTCAGAAAGGATTCAACATCTGTAAAATATCAGAGTACTAACAATGTTGTGATGTTAAAAAATTTCTAAAATCTTATCGCGAGTAAAAAAACTTACGCTTTGAGTATCAATACAAACTTCAATAATTGCATTCTACTGCTAACTTGTTAACTGTTAACATTGAAGATTATATTGTACTGTATAACTTAACTTGACTTGTAAAATTTTATTGTACTGTATAACATAGGAGATTCTATTGTGTATTAGATGAAAATGGTGAGACAAGGGCTTTTGCTTTAGACATATCAATGAATTTCTGACATGCTTTATGTCATCTTCATAAGCTCTCTTCATACAGTTTATCTCAGAAAATTTTTAAAATAATTGAATCATTAATCTTCAATTGCATTATTAAAGTTATCCTGAATAGACTACACTCACCTTCAGTTTTAGCAACTGCTAGGATACCATAAAATTCCAATCCTTGTTTGTCATCTACATTAATTACCTTCCAGACAATCTTACTTATAAAGTGACTCAATTTGCTGATTTGCTACTTGCTGATTTGCTAATTTGCCGATTTGCTGATAAAAAGTCATCACCAGGATTGGGGCTTACAGTAGCAGGTGAAATTTAACCCAAGCAAAACTAAGCTTTCTACTATTGCTATCAGTACTACCATTATTGTAATGTCAATATCCTTATCCTTAGCTGCTAAGGCTGACTCTTGCAGCCTTAGCAGTCAAGGATAAGCTCTTGCTATTTTCTCACCTATTATCATAAAATTGGATCTTTTTCACTTTTTAACGAATACTATCATGGTCACTGCTCAAGTCAGCTATCATCTTTTGTTTCACCTTATAAAATATAACCTTTTGTAAAATTCAGCAAAGTAACCTTTACTGTAATTGTTCTTGACCAAAAAAATAAGATTGTTCAATTTTAATAATAAGAATGTAAAAAAAAAACAAATAACTTTTCAGTAGATAACAAATAAAACGTAAAACTTTTAATATATTTTTTATAAAGAATGAACAATATTTGAAAATCAAAGAACTATTTTTTTATTTGGTTTTTACAACTTATAAAATAATATTAAGTGAAATTGCACTGTATCATTATATTTATTATTAGATTAGTAAATTAAAAGATATATGAGTGAAATACAAAACTGTTTCTTACAATAACAAATAACCTCACTTTTTCAAATCGGATAAATCAACATTTGTTCCAAATTTAATTAATTTGAATTTTTTTTTCTTCCTAAAAAATAATTGAAACTATGTATGTAAATGAGTGCTAGTATTAATATATCCTCAAGTTGAATTAATATGAAGATTCCAAAAAATTACCTTAACAATAAGTTGCGAAAATAAAATAAAATAAAAATGAATAAAAATTTCCTTTTACAAACATTGATTTTTATCATTGAAATAAAAATAATTTTTTTGATTTGACTAATTAAACTTATAAGTACGTTTAAAAAAAAAAGAAAAATACTAACTAAGTTATCACTATTTTTAAAGTTATGTATGTGTTATTTATGATGTGTTATGTATGATGTGTTATTTATGATGTGTTATATATGATGTGTTATTTATGATGTGTTATTTATGATGTGTTATGTATGATGTGTTATGTATGATGTGTTATTTATGATGTGCTATGTATGATGTGTTATGTATGATGTGTTATGTATGATGTGTTATTTATGATGTGTTATGTATGATGTGTTATTTATGAGGTGTTATGCATGATGTGCTATTTATGAGAATAATCAATTATATTTTATAAAAATATAACAATAACAAATAGCAACATGATTCTTTGTACTGTAAGAACTTAAAAAGTGCTCTCCAAATTTTAAAAATATAGAAACAATATTAAAACTTGCTTTTGGTCATCTTCTGTTTCATCTTTTTTTTTTTCTTTCATTTCTTCATCAGCCTGAAAATTTTTTATTTATTAAAAAATGTATAAAATATCAAGTTTGAAAATTTATTAAAAAGAAAAAAAAAAGGCCTAAAAAACCTGCAATGAATCTTGGTATGTACTAGCTTGGTATTGAGCATACTTAGCAATTGTCATTTTAGATCTGTAAATAAATTGATAAAATGAAGCATCATGACGTTTTTTTTTTTTTTTTGATTCTTTTTTGAGTATTTAAAATTTTGTGTTGATAGTTTACATCTTTAACTAAAAAAAAATTAATAAAAAAAGAAAACACACTTTGTACTTTTACATGCCCAAACATTCATCTTTCCTTCTTCATCCCAATTTTCAGTTGTATTCTGTTGTCTCTGAAAATTTGTAAAAATTGCTAATTTTACTAATTCAATTAATTATCTTTTAATTTATAACTAAAAACTTTTAAAAACCAACTTGATGTCGTATTTCGATAGGGTGATCCGGATTTTGCTCTACTAATCTTCTTGTTGTAAATAAACTTAAATCTGAAAAAAAAAATCAGCATAAAAAGAAAAATTGACAAAAAAACAAACAAAAAAAATAAAACATTTAGAATCATCAAAAATGATTAAACACCACAAAAACACAATAAGAAAAATGCATTAAAAGAGCAATAAAGACATGCCAAGCTTCAGAGATTTACACAACCCTTTGATCACAGTGACAGGATTTCGTTTATCCAAACAAAAATTACGCAGTGCTGGAGTCATAGCTTCTCGTCTGTCATTTATCTGAACATTTAAGGATTGATTAAAAAAAAAAAATTGAGTAAAAAAAACCCAAAAAAACCAAAAAAACAATCAACTAAAAAATAAATAAAATTACTGTAATGCTCGGTGTTGGGGGATTAAGTTGATCTTTAGGTACAGGTGGAGGACGAGGAGGACAAACAGGAATTTTATTTTCATTTAAAATTAAAGAAATCTTCGGAACCGTATATTCAGAAGCAAGCATAGACTTAGGTGAGCCAAAAGGTTTACTAGGAGATACAATAGTTGTCGGAGATGATGAGGTTGTTAATGAAAGTTTCTTTTTCTCAGTAAAATCTTTCGAAATGTCCGAACTTATAGTTAACAGATTTAATTCCTTTTCACTACTAACTGGTGATATTAAAGGCAAACCTGAACTAACAGATGGTTGAGCTGCAAAATGAGGTGTAGCATTTGGTGTTTGGGATGAATGGTTAATAGCATTCAAATTTGTATCATCTTTGATAATTTGACTACCTACTGAGCTTTCTTCATAAATTGATATATTATTTTGATTCCAAATAGGAGAAGAGTCTGGCTTAGAAGGTTGTTGATGCATGTTTGAACCTTTTACAGACAAGTTTGAGTGTACTGATGAAGCAAATGATTTAGTTTTGCTGAAAAACATTGGATGTTCAACTTTTATATCATTCTTTTCAAGAGCTTGTTGACTAACATCTCCACTAACCTTTTGAGGCAAATTATCTTGTTTGTCTAATGCAGAATGAGTATTTGCTTGTAAAAGAACTTGATGTTTTAAACGTGCCTAATAATAATTTTATTAATCAAAATGATGAAACAAAAAATTTTAAATAATAAAATAAAACTTTAAACTTATTAAAATTCTAAAAATAACGTATATATATTATAAAAGTATATTTTTATAATAACAATAATGCTATATAAACAAAAATCAGAACGCAAATAAAAACAGTAAGAACAAACAACTTTAACAAGACATAAAAGTGAAATAAATTGCAAAAACAAATAACAGTAATAAAACCTGTTGTACAAGTCGAACAGTCCTTGTCGTCAGTTCAGCAGGTATTGGAAGTTTCCAGGCTTCTTCTATGCTCGGTAAACTATTTAAATAAAAGATGGTCTTAATTATTATGAAATTAAAAATTAAACTTTTTTTATGTTATGAAATAAAAAATAAAACTGCTACGAAACTAAAAGTAAAATTATGTTGAAATTAAAACTTAAATACTTTGTTATTATTTTTATTTATTCTGATTTTCTCCCAACAATGTTGCAAGGAACCACTATTAAGTTGGGAGTTACTAGAAAAAAGAATAGTTATAGAGCAAGGAAAGGGTTGACAGAAGACTTAAAAAGTTGAAGGCTGTATGAGTCAGGAGAACATGAAGATGGGCGAAAGTTCTAAAGGGTTAAAGTGTGGGGAAAAAAGCAGGGAATGAGACTTTAATGAATGACGAGTCAAGCAAGAATAAGTTTTCGTTGATGGAGCTTGAGATGAAAACTCCTTTGAATAGTGAAGATGATAGTATTTGTAGAAAAGAGAAAGAAATGCTTTACTGCAATGGAAAAGAGGCTCAAGCTCAGCAGATAGACCGGGTCCAGCTACGTTTACAATTAATTTTTGGACCTTGTCTAGAACTAGAAAATTAGAAAAACCAGTTCAAATATGACAACAGTATTCCATACAAAGACAAATAAGAGATTTGTAGAGGTAGAGAATTGAATCAAGAGAGAGAAAATGGTAAGCACAATAAAGAGAAGCAACCTTAGCAGATGCTAATTAAGTAATCGATTGTATATATGGTTACCATGAAAGGTCAGTAGTAAATGATAATCCAAGAAGACGTAAAGAAGAGGACTCAGTGAGAGGGTTGCCATTCATCAATATAGGAATGTCGACAGTACTATGATAGTTGTTTGCAGTAAAAAACTTCTGTTTTTTACTGCAAACTATCATAGTACTGAGTTTTGTTGGAGTTAAAATTTACAAACTACTGTGAGCCCCAATCAGTTACAGAAGTGAGATCAAATTTCGGCTGCCTGTTCTAAGCAATCGAAAAGAGAAGATTTTTTGTCAAGACAGTAGTATAAAGTTGAGTCATCAGCATAAAGAGCTACTTTAGATGTAAGGTTGTTGGGAAGATCATTCGATAAGAAACAAAATAGGAACAAGGATAGAACCTTGAGGTACCCCAGAAGTTACTGGAAATAGAGGAGTGTTGACCTTCGAGGATTATCTCAAAAACTTTCTCAGATACGCCATATGAAACAAGCTTATGAAGAAGACCAAGAATCCCAAACTTTGTCGAAAGCCATAGATATGTCAAGAGCAATAGCCCTAACCTCTCTGCCGCCATCTAATGCATGATAAATTTTTCCAGTCACAGTAGTAAGCAAGTCAGCCGTAGAGTGAGAGGATCGAAAACCATATTGATTGTCTCACAGCAAGTTATTTGAGTAAAGATGGGATGTGAGAAATTTGTTTATCAATGACTCAAAGACCTTGCAAATAACAGAAAGAAGTCTGATTGGACAATAATTGGAGGGGTCAGAATGTTGACCAGAGTTTTTGAAAATTGAAACAACAGATGCCATTTTCCAGCAGGCAGGAGAACAACACTTAGTCAAGCACTTATTAAATATAGAGAAAATTTAAGAGAGTTCTTGAGAACAACTTTGTAAGACTGTCATTATTGTTATTAATTTTACTATTATAAAGAACAATACTTATTTAGTAGCTATTTTTATGTATTGCAATAAAAACTAAAACTGAGAACAAAATAAAATAATTAAATATTTTTAGAAACTAAATAAACCTATTGTTGACATCTCCATGTACTACACCGCTGTCCATCTTTTCTTTTAAACACCGCATTCGTGTTTCAAGACCAATGTTAGGACTTCCTTGAGAAAAAACTCAAACTATTGTAAATTTGAAAAAAAAAAAAACAATGTAAATGTTTTAAATTAATTTAAAAAGAGATTTTACAAAGACAAGCATAAATTGCTCACCACAAGCTTTTAAAGCATTTGAATAGCATATAATTGCATCACTAAAGAAAGAAATTATTTTACAACAATTTGTAACAACAATTGAACAGAATTTAGTATGCTCTAAGAATGCAGCATCATATAAAATATTTTATAACAATGTTAAAGCATATACTAATATGTACACAATAATAATGTACATATATTAAAATGTACAAAGTATTAATAAAACGAATGCTAATATATTTGCAACAACAAGATGCTAAAATTTAAATCTAATTTAAATCAATATATTGTACATAGCACATATACACAACAATAACAAGCACAATGAAGCATATTGTATAAAATTACATGCCTTTCACAAAGCCTTTTTTTAGTAACTGACACTTTTTTTAGTAACTTTATGACCATAGAAACAGGATAGATATACAGTAGGATGCAAAAGTAACCTTAGTAACCATAGAAATATAGTAACTTTAGACTTTAGTAAACATAGTAACTTTACACTATAGAAACAAGATAGATAGTAGCATGCATAAGTAACCAGAAAAGATCGCAAATTTACATAACTTTTAAATGAAGTCTTACTTCTTTCAAATTTTTACTGCAATGTTAAAAAAATGTTTTTTCAAAAGTAAAAGCAAATTAATTTTTATTATTGCAAATTAATTTTTATATAAGCAAATTAATTTTTATTATCCATGCAATCTAATACAAAAATTTCATTTTATTGAAATATGCACATGCAAATTTATTCAGACAGAAAAAAATACCTGAAGTAAACTTTTTTTTTTTAAATTTTGGTTTATTTTAAAATGTTTTTAATTTGAAGTAGATTTCTTTATTACTTTGTAGGGAAGCCTTTAGCATCAATAACAGCTTGACAGCAATGAGTTATCGAGTCTACAAGCTGATAATCACATCAATACCAACTTTTTGACTTTATTATGATTATCAATATCAAAAAATGACAACAGTTGGGGGTGGCACAATAACCCCTAGAAACTTTTTTTTCTAAAGATCACACTTATGATAAACATTTATTGCTGCTATTTTTTTTTGGCTATTTTATTGCTTGCTTTTATCTATTTTATGTACATCTATTTTAATTATTATGATTTAACTATAAAAACTTAACTATGAAAATAACCTGAAACTTAAGTTTACTTAGTTTATTTTAGTCAACAATTATTGTTAATTAAAAAATAAATATTACAGGATTAGTCAAAAATGTATTTACACAAATATATTAAAAGCAAGCATGAAGAAAATTTAAAAATTTAATTTCAGAGAGATGTCACTTTTATTGGGTACAGAAAGTTGGTTGGACATCTTAAGCAGATATACGGATTTGTGACTTCTATAAGAGATTGTATAGACATCTTACAGATGTCTGTGTTTGCTGGGTAAGAGCAAAATGATTTGTTGACATTTGTGTATTCAAAACATCAAAGCAGGTTTTACATTTAAAGCTTGTAGTTAAACCGTTAAGCTTTTCATCTAGCCAAATTTATCAATGCATGCATTTAATTTAAAAATAAATAAACTTAACTGGAGTCAACAGTTGAGTGCAGTTGCATTTAAGTAAATAAATTACAAGTTGTATATATAAATACATAATAGTTAAATCAATGAATATTACATTGTATTATTATTCTAGTATGTTATTGTGTTACTCTAATAGTTACATCAATGAATATTACATTGTATTATTATTCTAGTATGTTACTCTATTATTCTGGTATGTTAAGGTATCTGTTAGTATTACTATTATTGTTATTGTTATTTAACAATAAATAATTAATTTGGATATACAAATATTTTTTGATGTTAAATTTACAACCATTAAATTAAAATAAATGGATACATCTTATAAAAATTTGAAAATATGTCACTTAAGAAATTAAATTTTTAAAATTTAGAAACATTCAACACAAAAACAAATATAATTGTTGCATAATGTTGACATCAGTTATTTTATAAATAAGTTTTTTTCCATAAAAAAAAAAGGTTTACATTTGCAAAGTCATGGTAAACTGAACCGCAATGTAGTTCTGTGTTGAGTTCTTCCATGGGAACAAAACAAAAACTGTATCATGGTTTTTTTTTAAATCCAAAATTAAATCCAAAATTGATCATTATGTATTAGTATTTGCTTTTCGGATTTGTTTTTAGATTATGTAAAAAAATGGTCAGTTTCCGATTAAAAAATGGTCAGTTTCCGATTTACAGTCTTCATTAAAACATAAAATGTTTGTGAAACAGAACACTAAAAAATCCAAAATTAAGTTTTTGAAATTAATTTCAAAATAGCATCAATATGCCTTGTTATTAAGATGGCATGAAAAAGGTACAAAACAGAAAATTTGTCTTGAGTATTTTACAATTGTATATTGACCATCAAAATTTTAAAATTTGGTTATCTCTACATTTTTGAATTAAGCAATACTACAAATGCTCAGGTAAAGATTTTCTACCACTAATTCTTAAATGATTTATGAAAAAGTACCACTACAAAATCAAAAAGCATCCACATGGGGAAAAAGTAGAGAGATAGGCTCTGCTTTGATTGAGAACATATAAATTTTTTGTTTGTTTTGCTATTGTTCAGCTATTGTCATAAAAAAATCATCGGTTGAACAAGAAGACTAAAAACTATTTTGATTTTTGGAGAGTAAATTGTTGAAATCAAGATAAGAAATCAATAAATAATTGATTAAAGATAAACCTTACATAATCCTTTTTCATAATACTCTTCTAATAAGTACTACAAGAATTGCTCTATGGACCATTTTAAAATTAATTAATCAACAATACAAAACATTATAAGTATTTTATAGAAGTTATAAGAACCATATATACTTAATTTTCCTAACCTTATTGCAAACTTGTTTACATTTTTGAAACAATTTGTTTTACACAGATGTTAAGGGTGCAAAAAGGTAAACAACTATGTAATGCAATTGTAATTTAAATATACTAACAAAAACGAAAACTCTAATTACTTAAAATGACTGCCCGTTTCGTAAAGAACACCAAGATCAGTCCATGCAGCAACATGATTATTGTCTAACTGAACTGCACAAACATATGCTTGAAGAGCATCCATTGGCTGATTTTGCTGTTGATACAAAACTCCAATAGAACACCAGGTATCAGCATTAGCTTCCGCTTTATCAATAGCATGACGGTAAGCAGTAAACGCATCATGGATCTTTCCAAGTTGTGCAAAACATCTATAAAGCAAATCGAATATATAAAAAAATTGCAAAATTACAGACATATAGAGATCATTAAAATAAAAAAATGTTTTAATATTTATATTCAAAATAATCACCTTCCTAAAAAATACCATGACGACCCGCTACTTTGATCTAGCTCAAGGGACTTTTGAAGACAATGCACTGCTTCTTGAATTCTTTGTGTTTTTTCACCAAGTTGATGGTGTGAGTGATGCATCCAACCTTTAAATTTATAAAAAACTTTATAAAAAAAATTAAATCAAAGGCAAAATGATAAAAACTTTTGCAAATTTTGTAGTAGAAATTGTGTTTTTAGTTTATATTTGAAATATTTAATATTTGTATTCTTTATATTAAAAACAAGTAATAATAACTACTTTTTATATTTAAAAAATTATGTTCAGATGGTTTGAAAATTTAAATAAAATGTCTAAAAAAGAGTACAAAAAAAAAAAAGAAAAGAAAATATTGTTTAATAAGTAATGCAATAATAAAACAAAATTTGAACATTAGCACAACACAACTTAAATTAAAGTAGGTTAAGAATTCATCTTGAGGTGTCTAAAGAATCAAAAAATCATGATTTGGACTTTATTTCAAAGTAGGGTTAAACATTGACCAATGACCAATATTATCACAATAATTATGTATTTCAAGGTAGGATTAAACAATGACCAATAATATCTCCAACAATGACCAATAATATCTTATGAAACATAAATTAATGTTTACCATAATTAGTGGCATGATATGTTCAGCTCTCATTGTACATATTTAACACATTATCTTTGACAATTCAGGTAAAAGCTGTTCCTTTTGTGGATGCTAGTTTAATGAACAAGCCAGGGGTAGTAAAAAAAACAAAAAAACATAGAATACAATAATGCTGACCATAAGGTATTATGGATACCTGACAGAGAAACATTAAAAAAGCATGTTTAAAAAAATATTAAGAAGTTTTTGAAAGGGAAAGCTGGATTTGGTTGCAAATGCTCCAGATTTAGATGTTCTGAGTCATAAAATAATGCAAATACAGGCAGGATTATTTTACAGTACAAATTCAGGAGGATTATTTAAATTAATCTTTTTTTTTTTTGAATTTAAAGCTAGTTAAAAATTAAAAATACTTAAATTTATTTAATTAAAAATTCAACTTTTAAAACTTCAAAACTTATTACAGTTTGTACTATTTTTGCGCAATTCCATTTTAATTGCTTTCAAAACTTTTTTTTTCAGAACTACACAATTATTGTAATATTTTGGGAAACATTGTCTGTCTTGCTACCACTCTTAATGTAACAGCAAACAAATAGATAATCATTTCAAAAAGTCCAAAGCATCATCTTGTTTATCAAATAATACATAAGACATCGCTAAGTAAAATGTAAGTTTTGGAGCTATATAACAAGTAGTCATAGTTCAAACAAAAATCTATTGTTTTTTTTTAACTTTCATTAAACCATATAATTAAAAAATCAGTTATGTTCAAATTAAAAATCAAAAATATTTTTTTAATGTTAGAACTAAATTAGTAAAAAATACATTGCTAAATATAGATTTTATATTCACAATATTTACAAGTTCCTTTTACCTTACCTGCATATAAATGATGAATTTATATTATATTACTATCTTGTTAGAGTACTCTTCTTGGCAAATTACATTCTCCAAAAGTTATAATAATTTAAAAACAACAGAACAGCAAATAGTTCATCAGCCACAATTCTACACACACACACACACACACACACACACACACACACACACACACACACACACACACACACACACACACACACACACACACACACACACACACACAAATACACATACACACACTCACACACACACACATACACACACACACACACACACACACAAACATTAAAAGGCCTTATTCTTTATAAAATAAAAAAACAACTTTTTTACAACTTTTTTGAGTGGGCTGTATAAATTTGTTATATACTGAAATATACTGTTAAATACTGTATCAAAAACATTGCCATTGTTTATATTTAATTGAAAAAAATAAGTTTCATTAAAACAAGTAGCTTTAGGTGCTTTTTTTTTAAACTTGTATTTTTTATATATTATGTAACTATAGACAAGCGTCTATAGTCACACAGGTATTAGCACATATAAAACTATTTTACCATAAAGATTTGTTTAAAAGAATTTGTGAATATTTTTTTTTTTGTTTATTTTTAATTTATATGATAGAAATTAAAAAAATCTAAAATACAAATACAAAAAAAAATTTGAATCCCATTTAACATTTGAATGATTAAGCTAATACAATTTCAAATAAGTTCTAACAAAATTGAAAAATAAACTTAATACACTACCTAGCTGTCTCCAAGCAACAGATTGAACTTGAGGAGGCATATCAGCAGCAGCAATAATTGCTTGATAAGCTTCTTTAGCAAGCTCATACTTTGATTGCATCTCAAAGAGATGAGCAATGTGAAATTGAACTTAAAAAAGTTTTAAATTTACAACAGATCAAAAGTTATTATTTTTCTTTTTTAACAAATGAAAAAATTAAAATCATTCATCCAAAAAAATAAATTGATTGAATAATTACTTGTAACTCACCACTTACCACTAACTCACAATTATTCATAAAGAAAATAAAATTAAAAAAAAAATAAAAGTATTTACTTTCAACTTTTGATAGAGAACAAGGACTGGAATCAAGTAATGCAAGTTGGAAATGCTGAAAAACAAAAACTCTAAAAGATTATAAGACTAGTATTAAATAAAAATTACATTTACTTAAATATCAATTAAAAAAATTTAAAATACAAATACAAAAAAAATTGTTAGAGCTTTAGTACAAGCATTTACATTATATATATATATATATATATATATATATATATATATATATATATATATATATATATATATATATATATATATATATATACAGGGCCGGCGCAAGTAGGTGTCACGTGGGGGTGGGGAGGGGGTGGAGTGGTTGCCATTACATTTTGTTGACTAAAAAAAAAAAAAAGGTCCTCGTTTTCCAAAATTTGCCAACTGCCATGACGACATTTGCCAACTGTCTAGATTACCGACTAACCTATATTGAAAGGGTCGACATTTGCCAACTAACTACTCTAAAAGGGTCCAATTTGCTGACTAAGAGTCCATTTTGCAGACTAAAAATCATTGATAGGGGGAACTGTCACACCCCCCACACCCCCCTATCGCGCCGGCTTTGTATATATATATATATATATATATATATATATATATATATATATATATATATATATATATATATATATATATATATATATATATATATATATATATATATATATATATATATATATATATATATATATATAACATATATATATATATATATATATATATTCATAACAGTTTTTTACAGAAAAAGTAAAAATGTATGTATGTATGTATGTATGTATGTATGTATGTATGAATGTATGTATGTATGTATGTATGTATGTATGTATGTATGTATGTATGTATGTATATGTATATGTATATATATATATATATATATATATATATATATATATATATAAATATATATATATATATATCATAACAGTTTTTTACAGAAAAAGTAAAAATGTATGTATGTATGTATGTATGTATGTATGTATGTATGTATGTATGTATGTATGTATGTATGTATGTATGAATGTATGTATGTATGTATGTATGTATGTATGTATGTATGTATGTATGTATGTATGTATGTATGTATGTATGTATGTATATGTATATGTATATATATATATATATATATATATATATATATATATATATATATATATATATATATATATATATATATATATATATATATATACATATATATTTGTATACACATAAATACACAAATATTTTTGGGTAATTAACAAGAAATGACATTTAGGGTGCCAAAAAGTATTTACATTATTTTTCAGATAAAGATAAGTGTAACTAACTTTTAAACTTGCATCAAAACTGCTTAGTGACTTGAACATTAAACCTAGACGTAAATGAACTTCGTTAGCTCTAATAAAACTTGGGTCAACATATAATAGCTGTTGGAAGGCTTTAATAGACCTAAAATTTAATGTTTCTTTATATATATATATATATATATATATATATATATATATATATATATATATATATATATATATATATATAAATATATACTTATATGAGTCAGTAAATAATAAAATAAAAACACACACACACACACAAAAAAAAAAAACATACCAATGGTATGCATTAAAATGAAAGTATACAATTCCTAATCCATATAAAAATGCTGCATCCTAAATATAAATTAACATTTTCTATTATAAAAAATTAATAAAGACGTAGATGATTAAAAACAAACCATATGGATTCTTACGTTAATGAAAAGGTAACATGGTTAATTATTCAAAGTTAAAATATTTTGCTAAATTTAAATACTATGCTAAAATATAAATGTTATTTAACTACTTTTTTTAACCAACTTTTTATAATTTGTAAATTTTTTTACAGTGTATAAAAAGTAATGCTCACAGGTTGTGTAATATAAAATTTATCTTCAACTCCAAAAAATAACCTAACTGTGTGTTTCACAGAATCTTTCATGAATTATTTATAGTTTTTCATTGCTTGAAAGTTTTATATTGTTTTTTTGAGCAAGATGGATGAGGTAAACATCAATTTTTTTTTTGGTAATTCACCTCAAGGCGGAGAAGACCACTACAGACGAGAAGGCTACTTATTTGTGGTTATAACCCTTTCTCAACTCTATAACTCTGAAACACCAAAACAAGGCTGCTGTGCGGAGAAACAAGTTGAGCGCGGTAAGACCAGGGACGTGGTGGGGAACACGGAACCTCTTGCTTATAAAGTGAGCCCTCTACCACAAGAAAAAAAAAAATTCTTCTTATTTTCCTTAAGTCAATTGGTAGTAAAGTCAAGGTAACAACTTATTACATTATTATTAAATAACCTATTACAGTTAATATTTTCAACAACCTATACATAACAGTTTATATTTTTTAAGATAGAAACTGATACTAAGACTGAAACAATTATAATAATTTAGTAAAGGTAAGTAAGTACACAATAACTTATAAATTGAAAAAATAAAAGATTCTTTAAAATAAGGTGTGTCTAGGATTAAACTGGCAAGAAAAAATCTAGGTTGTGTAAAGATAAGTTTGCAAACATTTTTTCATTTCCACTTAAAAGATTTCAATAATTATGTAAAAATTTTGCGATTGCTCTTAATCAATTGTTTTTAAAATATACCCGAAGTGCCAAAAGAAATTGTTTTCATACCTTAAATAAACCTTAGAAATTAAGTTTACTTTACAAAACTTAAAAAAGATAATTATTGAGATTATATACCTAATATTAGACTTGTGATTTGCTTAGTTTTTTTTTGTTACAAAAATATCTGGTTTATTTAATGAATGCATAGTGGTCCAAGACTATGCCATAGATAATAAAAAAAGTTTTGTTATCTAATAGAAAAAATTGAAATAATTATTATTTTTATTTTCTAATTTATTTGCATTTAAAGATACGAAATACAAAAAGTTGATACAAGAAATATCAAAAATACTTGCATATTACGTATGCAATTTTGCATACGTAATATGCAAGTAATTTTGATATTTTTTTGGTGTTGCATACGTAATTTTGCATATTGCAAAATTACGTATGCAACACCAAAAAAATATTCAAAACTAGTTCAAATAGTGTGAAACAAGTAAACAACATAATCAGGTAGAGAATTCCATATCTTGATAATTTTTTTACAGTAAAAAAATCTTCGTGTATTAATTTTACATTTGAAATAATTTTTTGAGCATGAAATTCTATGGCATTCAAGAGATCATAGATTGAAGATAGTCTTGAAGAATCTTTACAAGGAATATGAAATCTTTTACAGACACTTCTAGTAAAAAGATTTCTGAACCTTTTTAACCAACATATATGTTTTAAAAGATGGGAATTTCACACTGAGGTACAAGATTCTGTAATAGGTCAATACATTGCCTACTTAAATTATATGGCCTAATATTCCTCATTTTTGCCCAAAAATGAAAGGCCATTAAAAAAGAATTACTGTGCTATAAAAGCCAGCCAGTTCAAATAGGTCTCTTGTCTAAAGAAGCTAAGGACAGCAGAAATAAAAAATTTCAAAAATTTTTGTGAACACTTAACAAAAAAATTTTCTCAGAAACTAACAAATGAGGATGTAATGAGAAGGTTTTTCTGCTAATCAGAATTCCTTCATTTTTCAGTCCTTCATCACTTCTAAGGCAAAGTTCAGCATCAAAAAGGCTTGCTTTTCCAGGACAATTTTTTAACTTCTATTGTAATTTTCTTAATATTATTCCTTAATAATACTGATTGCTGTATTCATAATGTCTCATGATAATGTCTAATAATACTTCCTTAATAACACTTCCTTAATAATACCGATTGCTGTATTGATAATGTCTCATGGGTCATCTTATGGGTCCCAAATTGATTTATCAGGAGAAATTTGTAAAAACTCACATGCTTATAACAGAAAAAAGGATATATATAAAATTTACTTTTTTTTATAACAATATTAAGTAAAAAATTCAGTTTTGCAAAAATGTTTCATGTATATAAATATTGATAAAAGTTATTGCTCTTTAAAATCTTGATACGATCCTAATGTTATTATGCAATCATATGTTCTTATTATGCAATCATATGATCCTAATGTTATATTTTATGTTGTTGTATGTTCTTATTATCCAATCATATAAAGGGAAAAATTTTTCATGTCTAGGTATTTTTAAAATATGTATCCTTTGTGTTGTTAATTAATCAACAATGAAGTCAAACATTTGTTATAGGAATAAATTTTATCATACATATTTAAAAATATATAGATATAAAAATGCAAAAAACTGGTCTTATAATAAATCCTGTGTTTATGGGTGCATTATTTTAGAAATTGCTTGTGCTATACAAGTTCTTAAATATACAATCCTAGATAATATTAAATGATTTTAAATAATATTTTAAACTACATTTGCGAAAAACAATAAGGCATTAAAAATAAAATGAAATGTTTTCCTTAATATCTCAATAAACAATTTGTTTTAGTTTAATTATCTCTAAACATACTTTCTGATGTTTATTTAAGATATGAACACAACTTGTATTGGGATTTGAGGACCCCTTTAAAATTACTTTTTCACTAAAAAGTTGAGCAGATCTAAACTATTTTAAATTTAAATGTATTTTAAAAAAATATTTGAAGAAATAAATTTTAACTACATTAGTAAGCAAGATAAATCCAAACTTGTTTAAGAAATGAGAGCTTTAATCTGATGTTGATCAAAACAAACAATGTTGATTAAAACAAACAATGGTGTTTGACATTTCTTAATACACCTTAGATAAACATCTCTTTTTCCTAAGCTGTATTTTTTTATTTGGTCAATTGAAAATTGCAAGTCCCAATGTATACTTGAAAGTAAAATAGATGATGATTTTGGTTAATAATATTATTGATTATTTTCGTAAAACATATTTTATGGTAACTTAAAATAAGTTTTATAAAAATAATTATTATAACCAATAATTATTATCAGCTTCAAATTTTTTGATAAAAATGTTACATCATAATAAGATATCTCAAAATGTTGCAATTTTTTTAAAACTATTTTACAAAAATTGTTTTCAAACTCATGCACTTATTTGGGTTTTGTAGAAAGTTTATTTATATATTTATTTTTCAGAAACTTTTTATTTATTATTAAAAACTAATATTAGTTTAGTCTTAACTGCATTTTGACAAAAATTTCATTTAAAAATGCAATCAAAAACAAAAATAAATAAATTACATTTAATATATTATATTAATCTACTTGATTCATCAATTATTAGGATTATTTCTTGTTTCATTTAATCAAAATTGCTAACAAAATGTGTCAATATGATCAAAACTTTAAAGTTTCACTTTAATTAAATATTTTAGATTTATCAAAACTTGGATTTTGGTTATTCACTATTAAGTAAATTAAAATAAGATTTAATAAGGTATTTTTCTACACTTACTTTAAAATAATCCTCAGTGAGTCCAAAGTATCGCTGATAGGCAGACATTGCTAAAAAAAGGAAGTGTAAAAAAAAAAAGGTAAAAAAATTGCTTTGCATATTTAATAAATATTTAAAGTAAAATTTTTTTAGTAAAAGATAGTAAAATAGTTTATATTTGACTTGATATTAACTAAAACCAATCAGATTTTTTTTTTGACTTTTAAGGAGCTTTTAACTACTTTGTTTTAAAAAAATCCACCTTTAAAAGTTAAAACTTTTGAATGAATTTGGCAACAAATCCACCTTTAAATGTATTTGTTAATGAATCCACCTTTAAATGTATTTGTTAATGAATCCACCTTTAAATGTATGAGTTAACAAATCTGCCTTTTAAATGTATGTGTTAACAAATCCATCTTTAAATGTATTTGTTAACAAAAAAATTATTAATAAGCAACTTTAAAAATTGTTTCAAACATTGAAGTTACCTTCTCCGTACTCTTCCTGCAACATGTGATAATGTCCCAGCTTACAAAAAACTTTTGGATCCACTCCTTTGCCCTCAATCCGCAATTTATTCACAAGATAATGAATTCCCTAAAAATGCAACAGCATAAATAATTATGATTTTTAAAACAAAAAATCAAGTTAAAATTATAAACTAAAACATATTCAGTTTTACAAAATGCAATCAAGTTTGAACTTTGTATCTCAAGAATCGTTTTGGAGTTTGATAGAACAGAACTTTAGGATTGTAACAGTACAAAAATATTAAACATAAGTTCAAAAATTAGATTTTTTTTTTTCATAGAAGAATAACAAATAGTCTAATTTCAATATAAAAAAGTTTTAATCTTATAAATTCAAAACAAAAGATTTATTATTGTTTAAGTATATTTAAAAACAAAATTAAGTTCAATTTAATAAATAAATCTTAACATAATATTCTATTTTCTAATGTGAACTTTAAATAATTCTAGAATAAAAAAATGTTTCAATTAAATTTCTCATCAGTTTCTTTGGAAACTAGAAACCACTTCCTAAATGACCAATTGATCTTTTGAAGTGTTGCCTATGGTTGCTACAGTTGTGATACATCAAATCAGGTGAAGTATATCTCAATATAATATATCCTGAAAATATATCTTAAGTGAGCAGTTATGATTGACATCAAATTGAACGACATATAAAATGTCAAAATGCAAATGTTTCAATTAAGTCGCTGTTCAAATTTAGATAACTTTTTTCTTTTTTTATAAGGTGCAGCATTTGCCAAGAGAAAAGATGACAATAAGATGGATGTGTGGTATAACAAGACAAGAAAGGAAGCCATGATCTTTAGGAATATTTAGGAATAGTCAGTGAATCGAACAAGGTTTGTCAGAGAAGATTAAAATAATTTGAGTATGTTGAGCAATGAGGATGCAGATGCTTTGGGTATCAGTATTTAGAAAAGTTTCAGAAGATAGAGGTAGAAGAAAACCATTAACTTTAATTAAAAATAACTTTTGTTTTTAAAAGTGAAAAATATTATCCTTTTCAGAAAAAAAACCTATTAAACCATTAACAAATATTTACTATAGGGGAAAATGCAGTTTTAATTTCGTCATTATTTTTATTATTAATATCTTTAATTTTAAAAGTTCACATTGGTGGACTTCCAGCCATTTAATATTCACAAATTCAATCTTCAAAATAAAAAATAAATTATGTTCAGGACTACAAAATACACACATAAATCACATAACATTGTTCAAAACTTTAAATTTGGAAAATAAAAAAAAAAATGTATTATATAAAAACCGTAAACTAAATTATACAAACTTTTATTGCTTAGTAATATAAATTTTATATAAATAGTTTACATGCAATAGCTTTAACCAGGGACGAACCCAGATCTGTTTTAGTACCGCTGGAATGGTGTGGGCACCCAAAAAAAATTGCCCAAAAATTATTTTAATTTTTTAATTTTTCTTTTGCTTTTTTATTAAAAATAGAAAAAAAAAATTTCAGTTCTAAATTCATTAGTATATAAATAATTTTCAATTTATGTTAGCTACCTCAACTAAAACAAAACTCATTAAACTAAAATGCTTAGTCTATTTAGTTTACGCATTAAAAAACTTTTTCAATCTTTGTTTCAACAATTTTATATATTTTTTATTTGTTTAATATGTTCGAAAGTTAAATATTTCTCATAAAAAATACATAGTTAAATAAATAAAATAAAAAAACATTTTATAAATACTTTTTTTTATTTTAATTAGAAGTGTTTTTTTTTTTACTTCATTAAAAGCGTTTCAATAATATAAAAGCATTTAAGATCAAACTTATTAAATTGTAACGGTTTTCTTTTTTTTTAATGAAATTTTGTTTATCTTTTTAAATGCATTAACTTGATTCATTCTTATATTTAAATTCGTTAAAGAGACTTTCGTAGTCGTAGAATGTCATTGTTTATGAAAACAAAACAATTTTTTACTTTTTAATAAGATTTATTTTAGAAATGAACACTTAAACAATTTATGTTTTAAATTAAAAAAATATATACAACTGTCAATTATATTTAAAAAACAAAACTTTTTTTCAGTAAATTGTTACTTTATTTAAAATCGTTTCACTAATATATAAACATTTGTTAAGAAGTTTTGATGCAATTAATTTCACTTTTATAGAATATTTTTTATTTAGTACGTTTCTAAAATGTTTTTTGAATTAGCCGGGGTCAAACCGTCATAGCAAAATGTAACTTGCGTGGTCATTTAAAGACGTGAAATCAGACGTCTTCCTGTAAAAGCCTGCTAACTGAACGTTAGTTTAAAAAAAATGAATGTTGTTACGAAACTTAATTTCAAAAACCTGTTCCGAAATTTGTTGACTAATGTTTTTTGACAGTTATGAGTAAACATGCAAATTTGAACTTTGATCTTTAGCTTCTTTTTTTAGTTTGCGTTAAGAAAACTTTTTCTGAAAGTTTTGTTTCTTTTAAATATTCTTTTTGACTTTTAAAATAATAAGAATAACAATTAAAATTTTTATACTTTTTAAAACTTTTTATAAGTTTTATTAAGATCTAAAATAATATAAAATTATATATTTATTATTATTAATAATAAAAATAGTAAAATTTTTTTATTAAGCATAATTTTTTTTATTATACTTTATGATTATGATTAAAAAAAATATTTTTTTAAATATAATGTTTTTTAAATTATGATACGCTTTTTAATTAAAAAAATATAACATTTTAAAAATTATGTTTACAGTAATTATCTTTTCTTTAATTATTTTTAATTAAAAAGCCGCTTTAAAATCACAATTAAAATTATTAACCTTTAGTAAAAGTTAAATGAATAGATTTGCTAATCTTTAAATCAAAATTTTAAAATTAAAATAATAGTTAATACATTTATTAAAAGCTTATCAAACTTTTTGGATTAAATTTTTAATTCAAATACCAGACGTAAAACTATTTTGTTAATTGTACAAATATTACGCAATTTAATATATATAAGTATATTATGAAATGTAAATATTGATTAAAAATTGTTTAAAGTATTTAAACATTTAATTACTAATTATTTAAAACATTAACAACTACTAAAATTAAATTTACTAAAATATAGTTAATAAATGTTTAAAATACTTTACACACTTTTCAATAATTATTTACTTATAGCGTGGTATTTGCAACTAAAGCTTTAATTAAAGTCTCAACTAAAATAGCTTTCTTATCGTATCTAAAGTGACATCGTCCACTGGTTAATTCATGTACTCAAAAATTTAAAATCAACTCCTGATCTTAGAAAAAAACTAAACAAGATAAACAAAATGATTAAAATGATGATTGAAAAAATTATGATTAAATATCGTCACAGCACTGGTTTAACTAGGAAATAAAGAAAAAGAGGAGGGACTTGAAAATATCATCCCCAACAACGCTGCCAAAAAAAAGCAGTATCCCCAAATCTGGGTTCTTAATTGCTTTAACCTAAAGCTTTTTAAAGTAAAATTTCTTTATTTAAAACTTGAAAAACTAAATGAAGATTAACAAAAAAAAACTTTTCTGAACTCACTATAGTAATATAAGGAATTGTTATTTTAATTAAATCATACCTTTTGTAGCAATGTTCTATGGTTTACTTCGGTAAGTGTATTAGCAGGATCAAACCAACGAATGAATCCAAAAAGTCGACTAAAGCAAGAATTAAATAAGACTTTTTTATTATTTATAAAAAAATATTCAGGATAGAGCTTTTAACATTTTTATTTTATTTTAATTTTTTTACTTAATATTTTTAATATGTATAATAAAGATTTCCAAATGCTTTAGTCTAATTTAAGATAGATGCAGTAGAGGTGTAGTAATAGAGCACTCACTTCATAAGAAAGATGTTTTAAGTTCAATCCCTATTATGTCCCTAATATTATTGTTCAACTTGTTTCTTTGCCCAGCAACTTTGTTTGTCATGGTTTCTGTTTCAGATTTAAAGAGTTGAGAGAGAGTCGTAACCTGTAAAAAAAGTGTTGAAGTAATAACTTTATTTTTAATTTCTGTTATGTTCTGTTCAGCATTATCAATCTAACTCCGATCATCTTTATTTTTTATCCAAAATACTCAAAATTGATGATCTAGTTCAACTATTAAATTGCCATTTTGTCTTTAATTATAAACAAAAATGTCTACCCAGCACATTTACAAATTTTTTTACTGTTAGAGAAAGCTGTCGCTATCATCTACGATCTGCTAATAGCTTATTAAAAATATGGTCTAAAATCCATAAAATACCAAAGTGTAAAATCATGAACAGTCTACCTTCACCATTAAAATCAATTGACTATATTACTAATTTCGAAAACTGTCTTTTTAACTATTTTTTAGCAAGATATTATACCTGAAGACTCTGAAATATGTTGTTATGCTTTTATTATTACTACTTTCTTGATACCTACTAGTTTTATTATTAACTTTTTGTTCTTATATTTTTATTGTTATTATTAGTATTGATATTAATAATATTCTTCTATCTTTATTAGTAAGTTGTTATTTTTATTTATAACATAATAAGTATTATTATTGCTTTTTTAATTTTTTCTTAAGTTTATTTACTACTTATACTACGTAATTGTTATTACCACTATTATTGCTATTATCTAATATTGATTGTATAATATTTTTATTATTATTGTTAGTATTATTAATAATAATATTCCTTTTCATTGTCATCTTATTACTATTGTTAATATTATTTCTATAATTATTATCAATACTATTATTATTGTTATTATAATCACTTTTATTGTAATGCTGTAGGTTTTTACTTTAGATTAGTACTTGTACTATTTGTAAAAGTCCTTGAAATTTTACAACTTATTTCAGAATATATTGAATTGAATTGAATTGAAATTATGTACAAACAACACTTTAATTAAAAATGAGTGATGCAAATTAATAATTTATATTAATGATTGGAATTAACTTCTTAGTGTAGTACCCAAGAAATTAGAAAAAAGTATCGAATACACAAAGTAGTAAAACTCGAAGAGCCAAGTCTATGTTAACTTGGAATTAGCATTTGCGACAATTAATCAGGTATATTATAACCATCTTTTGCAATATGAAATGCAATGGAAAAAAATTAAGACATTTATATTAGAGAAAGATAAATTTTTGAACCCGGAGTTCTTAGGTAAAATGATAGGAAGGACTTTGGGATTCCAGGCTTAAAAACAATAAGTTCCAATTTAATATCATGATTTTTTTTTTACAGCAGATCATAAATCAACCAACATGTTGTGACATCACGGCGTGACAATTTTTGTGAAAAATTTAAAATTGCTAACCTGAAGCCACAAATAAGGTTTTATACTTAATTTTTTTTTATTTGATTACCCAGATCATTCTGTTACTGTTGTTCTTTGAAATCTTAAAATCTATACGAATATTTTATTAACAATATATATTTTACATTTTTAAGTAAAAAAAAAAACATTTTTATTCAATAAAAGTATATTTTACAAAAGCAGCATTTTGAGGATGTATGCTCAGCTATCTTTGAGGCTCTATGCTAGGGTACATAGAGCCACTTTGTGGGATAGTTGTAAATTTGTTGTGTTGTGAAAGGCAGTTTAAAAATATGGTGAAAAAACAGTTGAAAAAAAAATTAAAGATGACGAAAAAAAAAAAAAGATTTGCTAAGTTGGAGTCTAAACAAGAAAAAGAAAGAGTAAGAAAAAGAATAGACAAAAAGAACAGAACTGAAATCTGTAGTTGTTACATCACCACCTTACAAATCCGCAAGCACACTGGGAACGCTGTTAAGAGATCCTAGTCATTAATACACATCTAAATCACTTAGCAAAAGTTTAATAAAAGATAATGAAAACCCAGAAAAAAAAGGATAGTGAAACAGCATTAGATACTTCAATTATACAACTGATTTACGATTTTTACTAGTGTGATGATATATACCGCCAAGCACCACGAAAATAAGACACTATTGTAGAGAGATCAAAGGTCAAGAAAGAAACTTTTTTTAAATATGATTTCTCTTTGAATGTTAGTAAAGCTCATGCTCTTTTAAAAGTAGATTACCCTGAAAATTAGTTAAAAAACCAAAGTTTGCAAGTTTATGTCCATCACAAGTATTTTTGTCTAGTTTAATACCAAGAAATGTTTTTGTTGTCAATATCACATGAAGCACTGCTTTGTTTGATTCAATTTATTTCAATTTGATTCAATTTTTTTTTTTTTCAATTTGATTTAATTTTTTTTTCAATTTGATTCAATTTTTTTTCAATTTGATTCAATTTTTTTTTTTTTCAATTGGATTCAATTTTTTCAATTTGATTCAATTTTCAAAGTTTAATTCAATTTTTTCATTGACCCAATCTTTACATGAATTTTTTCTTAGCATTGTATACAATAGAAATTTGTTATAATAACACAATTAGGGATTCTTCCAGGGAAATTTTTTCCCGGTAATTTCCCATGAAAATAATAATCTAAATTCCCATAGCCCCGGGAATTTTTTTTCGGGATGCCGGGATTTTCGAACATACATTTTCTAACTTCCCCGCCAAAATCTAAAATGTTTTGTTTTCCAGACCATAAGAAATAATGTTTATTTATAGTTTTTTACATATTGAAATTTATGACAGCAAATTAGAAATTGAAAAAAAAAATGTCTTTAAACCCATAAACTTCTAAAGTTTGGAGTTACTATTAAAAATTCAAACGAGGCACAATAAAAACATTGTCCAAAGGTATTATTATGCAAAGGTGGTTCGACTGTTGGATTGAAAAGACATTTAGAAAAAATCCACAACATAATTTTAAATAAAGAAGATGAAACATCAAATAAAAAAAGTTGTGTTCAACTAACAATCGAATTTATGACAAAAAAAGTTTCATTAGGTGAGCGATTGGCTTGTTTTGCTGCTACTGATGGGTTTACTATAAGTGCAATAACTAAATTCGATCAAATTTATGAGTTTTTTCGCGAGGGTACACTCTACCAAAATCAAAAACAGATGTCATGAATCTAATTTATAAATATATGGAAATAGTCAAAGAAAATAAAACAAAGATACTTAAAATAAAAGAAAAAAACAGTAAGTTTAGTATAGATTTGGAGGAATATTCAAAACATGGCAGGAGATTTATGAATATAAATCTTCACTTTAAAAAAGGGTTTATTAAATAAGGAAGATGAAACATCAGATAAAAAACGTTGTGTTCAACTAACAATCGATTTTATGACAAAAAAAGTTTCATTAGGTGAGCGATTGGCTCGTTTTGCTGCTACTGATGGGTTTACTATAAGTGCAATAACTAAATCGGATCAAATTTGTGAGTTTTTTTGCGAGGGTACACTCTACTGAAATCAAAAACAGATGTCATGAATCTTATTTATAAATATTATATGGAAATAGTCGAAGAAAATAAAACAAAGATACTTAAAAAAAAAGAAAAAAACAGTAAGTTTAGTATAGATTTGGAGGAATATTAAAAACATGGCAGGGATTTATGAATATAAATCTTCACTTTAAAAAAGGGTTTATTAATCTTGGATTGCAGAGAATGTTAGGATCACACAACTCAAACGATTGCCCTAAACTACTCATAAAAAATTTAGACATGTTTAACGTAAGTCTTTTAACGGATGTAGTTTGTATTACAACTGATGGTGCTAGTGTTATGGAAAAACTAGGCGTTATTTCTCTTGCACATGCAATACATTTAGCTGTAGTTGATGTAATTTATAAATATAAAGTTAAAAGTAATAATTAGAGTACTAAATGTACAAAGGACAAAGATATTGAAGATGATGGTTTTGATGATGATGATGATGATGATGATGATGATGATGATGATGATGATGATGATGATGATAATGATGATAATGATGTTGGTGATAATGAGGAGGAGGAGGAAAAAAATGATACTAATCACCAAGCTCCAGATCTTGTTCCTGAGCTTCATAAGATTATGGCTAAAGTTCGAAAAATTGTTGTAACTTTTAAAAGATCTCCTTTGAAAATGGATTCTTTAAAACGTTATTCTAAAAATGAATTTGGACAAGAGCTACTGCTAATTTTGGATTCAAAAACTTGTTGGAACTCAATGTTGTCCATGATTCAAAGATTCATTAAAGTTAAAAAAGCAGTTTTTAAATCTCTGGTTGATTTTATTTTAGAAAGTCTAATGTTATCTGATGATGAAGTTACAGTAATTGAAAATTTGTCAAAATGTCTAGAACCTATTGTCTGGTACTGAAATGATTTGTTGAAGGGAATCAACATTATTAACAGCTGACGACACATTAAAATTTATGGTTAAAGAACTTGATGTTCAAGATTACTACCTAGCAAAGGATCTTGAAAATGCTTTTATTGAAAAAATATGTCAAAGAAGAAAAAATGGTCTTATTGGTTTATTAAGATTTTTAGATAATCCACATCTCTAAAAAATGATATGGATGGTGACCTACTTTGCATCCCGTCTAAAACAGTTATGATTAATTTAGCTATTGAAATATCTGGTATACTTTTTCCAATAATTGAAAATATAGCAAAAGAAATAGAGGGCAGTTGCAAAGTTAACAATAGTGTTAATATAAATCAGGCATCCGAATCTATGCTGCTAGATTAGAAATATTTGTAAAAAAAAAATAAAAGATCGCATAGTTTAGATATGCTTTATAATGTGCTTTTAACTATTCGTCCATCCAGTGTTGAGGCTGAAAGGGTGTTTAGTTTAACTGGATTTTTATTTACAAATTTTAGTACTAGATTAACAGACAGTCATCTTAATACACTGGTGTTTCTAAGAAGTCACTTTAAATTCAAAAATAGTTAAAAAATAAAGAGAAAAATAGAAAAGTGTTGTGTTATTTGATTTTCCTTAAAAAAAAGTTTTCCCGGGATCCAGGGAACACTTAATATATTTCCCGCTATCCCAGAACAGAAAAAGTCCGGGAAACGGCAATCCCTAAACACAATGTACATCATGTAAAGATGCTGCAAAGTTTCATGATCTTTGTACTTTAAATGATATTGACAAGAAAAAGTGCATTACCTGGTGCCAATCAAAGAAAGTTGTGGACAAGATAAAAGAATATACCAAATAGTTGAAAAAAAAGGAAGAATTGATAATCTTTACAGCATCTTTTCAAAATTTTTAACTTCATTTCTTTGGGATTAATTTATAAAACAGAAACAGTCAAAGCCAAATAATGATTAAAGACTCAACTTCATAGTGATTTATATTCTTTAAATAGATTTTTCTTTTGAAGTGCAGTAAGCACATTAACACAAGAAAAAAAGTTACTGTGTTTACTGCTTTATATTGGCATCAGGATTCATGTTCTATAGCTGTCATAGTTTCAGATAATTTAAGCCATTTAAAAGAATCTATTGTTGTGTTTGTTAATAATTTAATATCTAACCATGTTGAGTCAAGTGCAAAAAAAATTTTCTAAATATTCCAAATTTAAGTTTTTTTTTTAATCTCTATATTCTTACGATATACAAATACAAAATTAAAATGTTATTTGAATTTTTGTTACTTTTAGCCTAAAGTTAAGTGCAAACTATCTAGTCAAACAAGTTTATCCAGATAAAATCAAAAAACTTTAAAATGCATGAATTTTACAATAATATAACAAACTTCTAAAAAAACCTTTAAATAAATTTCTTTTGAAAAATATTTTTAAAAATGTAAAATTTGTGCTATAATTAAAGTAATATTAGTCTAAAATTACTGCAGGGGGTTATTCTTGATACATTTTGCTAATCTCATTTTTTTTTAAATTTTTTATAACTAGTATAAAAATCAAGGAGAATAATTGTATTTCTAAAAAAAGTTATTTTGACTCCACCCTACTCATTGGTGTCTAAATTTTATATTTAATCTTTAACACAATAATATTAAATAGCTATACAAAATAAAATTAAAAAATAACTATTTTTTGGTATTTAGTTCATATTAGGTACTGTAAAAAACAAGAAAAAAAAGGTGGAAATATTAACCTCTCATTCATGAGAGGTAAAATATCAACAATGTTTTCATGAGAGGTAAAATATTTACAATGTAAAATGTCACAATGTAACTAAAATTTTCATATGATTTTTTCAACAACACTTAGGGTTGATAAGTTAAAACCAATCAAATAAATATCAAATATTTAAATATACAATAAATATTTAAACCAAACTAATTTTTTGTTGAAATAAATAAAAACAAATGGAGTTGATCTAGATAAGTTACAAAGAGATAAAAAAAAAAAAAAAGTGATAATTTTTATCAACTGAGAAAAAACAATTGTAAACTAGATATCTTCAGATTGTAAGTGATGCTCATTTCCTTGCAAACACGCTAGATCCTAGATATTTTTGATCTAATCTTTCTGAAAATGAGGCTGCAATGACTTTTAGAGATATAGAAATTATGAACTTGTAACCAATAATATTCAAGTTAAAAGCCATATCTGCTCCATTCGATAAATGCTATTTGTATAGTGAATTTGTGTAAAAAAATCACAAATGGTGGAAATCTCTAAAATCTTTGAATCTTTGGAATATGATAATATTCCATCATAATAATAATTTATGTTTTTTTATTTTTTAATTTTTTTTTAAATTTTAATTCACCTCTTCAAGGCGGAGAAGGTCACTACAGATGAGGAGGCTAATTATTTGTGGCTATAACCCTCTCTCAACTCTACAACTCCAAAACACGAACCTTGACGAACAAGGCCGCTGCGCGTAGAAATGAGTTGAGCGCGGTACTACCAGGGACGTGGTGGGGATCGAACTCGGAACCACTCGTTTATAAAGCGAGCGCTCTACCACTACACCACTACAGCATCACAAGTATTGTGATAATAATAATAATAATAATAATAATAATAATAATAATATAATTATTATTATCATTAACATTGATATTGACGGTTTGTTAAACGTTCCAGCTTCTAGTGCTTGAATTAAAAGAATTTTTTTTGACTTTTGGACTTGTTCATTTCAAGTTAAGAAACAAGATGGGAGAAAAAAAAGCGGTAAAGCTTGTTTTATATCCAGAAAATTAAATAATGATGTAGTAGTTAATGAATTACAGCAGTTATGTTAATGAAAACTACATTTTACTCGAGTAAAATGACTGGCTTTTTTTAATTAAAAAAATTGACTAAACATCAGCTTTTTTTACAAAAAAAGGAGTTTAAACCAAAAAAAACCATAGCAATAATAATAATAATAATAATAATAATAATAACAATAATAATAATAATAATAATAATAAGTAATTTATAACAAATGACTAAGCATTTGCAAGCAGGGCAACTAATGAAGCCCCACTGTTATAAATATCAGTTCTTTTTTTTTTAATTATATCTTAATAAATATATCTTAATTATATTTTAATAAATATCAGTTCTTTTATTTTAATTTTATTTAAGTTCCAGTCAGGTACGACATGGTTGCAGAAGAAAAATTCTCTTTGCACACAGTGTGTTACTGCTTGACATTGAAATCGATGGCATTTCCCTTGGAGGCATTTTGCAGGTCACTGCATACTTTGTGGTGGAGCAAAATGATTTGGTCTACGGAGCTTAATTTTGCTAATGCCGTGGTACATCTTAAAGTACTGGATAAGGTTGCCTCTATGCTGTCTATCCTCTAGTGATTGAATTTTTAAAAAGGTTAATCATTGATGATACTTTAATGGCGTAAGATAAGGCACAAGCTTAGTGGCTTTTTCTTGTTCTGTTTCAAGAGCGTCAATGTCTCCGCGATAATAAGGGTTCCATGCGGAAGAGAAGAACTCGAGGTGTGGTCGTACATAAATTGTATAGAGTATGCGAAAGCTTTTTATATCCCAATAATGGAAAGTTCTTTTCAAGATACCTAGTGCCTTGTTTGCCTTAGTTCACACCTCACTTATGGTTGTTTATCTTGGGGACAAAGCTCTTCATTTAAGTATAGTCTTTCTGTTAATCAGAAAAAAACTACCACATAACTCCTACACAATAGATTCATTCAAGGAATTCCCATTAATACATTTTTTCAACTTCATATAAATTGAAAACTGACTTTTTATTCAGTTTCATTAATGATAAAATGCCCCCTATCTTTACAGAATAGTTTACTCCATTAATACATGCTCATACCCAGTTTACTAGGTTGTCTCTAAGAGGTGGATTGTGTGTTCAAGCTAAGAGGTGGATTGTGTGTTCAAATTTTATGGTGAACATTCCTTTGTAAACTCTGCAATTAGTGACTAGAGTTTCTTATAAAGTAAGCTAAATACTTTTCATTTCTGTGAACTAAATAAAAAAAAAGTATAAAAGAAAAACTTAAACTATTCTATTAAAATTCACTTAATTAGAGACAATAGTTTTCCATTAATGTTATAGTGATATATTCATATATGTATACATATTCTATTCTATTTTTTCCTTTTTTTTTGGTTTGCTTTTATTTTTTTATTTTTATTTTATTTGCATTTAATTTTTGAAACTTGTTTATTTTCTTGTCCTATATGAAATTTTATTTTTTACAAGGTTGCTCTCCTTGTTTTAGCCAGGCTATATGAGAGTAAACCTTTCAATTGGTATTATTTCATTTAACACCTTTGTGTAACATTTACTGGTAAATATATCGTTATTGTATTGTTTTGAGTGTTGTAACAAAAACATGTATACTATATAGCTGAAGTTTATCTATTGAGCACTCTTCTATATATTATACATGATAATATAAGGATAATAATATATATATATATATATATATATATATATATATATATATATATATATATATATATATATATATATATATATATATATATATATATGTATATATATATGCTTACATTAGTACGCAATACTATTTGTGTATATATATATATATATATATATATATATATATATATATATATATATATATATATATATATATATATATATATATATATATATATATATATATATACAGTAAAATTGAAATAAAACTAATTTATTTCAATTTTACTGTAGTTATCACATGATAACTACAGTAAAATTGAAATAAATTAGTTTTTTCAATTTTGCTGTATTAAAATAGTGCATTACAAGATATATGTTACCTATCATAATTTTTAAGGATATCTTTCTCTTCTTCTGTTAATGTCAAGTCGGCCTCAACCTTGATGAATTAATAACACACATGAGTGTTGATTAAAAATAATAATGTTAAAAATATTTGTTATAAAATAGCAATCAAATAGATACTTTAAAAATCATTGTTGTATTGTGTTAAGAAATCTAAAAATTTTTCATACAAAAATTTGATAAATATTAAAAGATTTAGAACGAATATCATTCGGTAAAATATCATTATATATATGTAAGTTTATAGTCGCAAAGGGAACACACAAAAATATTTCTAAATTTTATATACAAATTTTTAAATTAAAAACTTAAAAACTTACCATTTCTCATTCTATGTTATTTTAAAATCAGAATAAGCCCACAACAAATTTTAACCAATGAATTGTTAAAATTTTTCTCTTTTTTTTCTTATTATTGAATGAGATATTTACGGCGGAGTTTTAGAATGGAAAATGCTACCATTTTAAATGCGAAATAAACCAAATGGAAATAAACAACATAATCATCCAATAGTAGTAAAGAGACAACATCATGTGATTTTAACAAGTCAATATTTATTATTTGTGTTGTCACGTGGTTAGCATTGTAAAAGTCGGGGGAGAACACTTGGACTTTTTTTACTTTAGCCAGTTCCAAAGTTATATATGGCTTAGAACCACTGATCTCAAAATATAACTCAAATTATATTTTGAGATCAGTGCTTAGAACTATGCAAATATGACAAGAACTTTTAAAGCAACATAAACGCTGCTGGTAGAGCTGTTTTAAATTTTTTAATATTTCAAAATATAATAAAAATTTCTAGCATTTGTTTTTTAAAATAGACTATATTTCAACTAGTGCTGTTATGACTTTTAAATAATTCGACTCCTATATATTCTAAAGTCGACTAAAATCGACTAAAAAATCTTTGAAACCGACTAAAATCTTCGACTAAAGTTGACTTTAATGGAAAGATGGGAATTATTTTTTATTTGAAATAAAGTTTATTAAAATAATAAAATAATTTATACTCGCTTTTTATTTTTTTAACATCATATCATTTAAACAATAATGGGGAATTATATATTTGTCATTAAATGAACAAACAAAAATTGAAGATTGAAAAATTAAATTGAATGAGAAGATATAAGGACTTTAGGATTTTTACCCGACTAAATCGACTTTTAGCCGATTGGGAGAGAGTCCACAGTCTAATAAATTGACTATTTGATTTTTTTCGTCGAAATTTACTCAAAATTTACAATTATCTAAACACAATAATATATTTATAATAATATCCCAGTGAGCACGGTACGTTTTCAAAACTTTTATTCGACGTTTTTGTTAGGTCTAAACCTAATAAAAACGTCCGAATAACATTTAAAAAACGTACTGTGCCCAGTGGGAGATTAAAGTAATAGTAATAACAAGTATGTTTACAATAATTACAATAAAACATAACAGTAGTTATAAATATTATAATTGTTAGTTATGGGCATAAAATCATTTATAATAATGAGTTAATGATTTATAAAAATAGTGTCACTCATACAGAACTCTGATCAAAGGAGTATCACTACTTTTTAAATAAAACGTAAACAATAATAAGCATTGAAACACATTGACCGTAAACACAATGATTAAATCATTTGCTGGTGCAAAATCTAGATCCTAATAAGTCCAAGTATTGCACTTTACTTGATTTTCAACTCTCTAATTTATAAGGGCCATTTCACTCTTCAAGTTTTGGTGACAAACTCAAATATGAAATGGTTTTCTCTGACCAAAACCAAGTATTTATTTTGACTGATACTTTGGCGACTCCAAATTATTTGTTAAATAATGTAGCTTTAAAATATAAAATTGTATATAACCCAGACCGAATTAAATATGTTTCTTACAGTAGCGTTAGTTGTTTTGGGCTATACATTTACAATTAGTGCGTCACTGTCGGTTTAAAAAGATAGCAATTCTAACCTCTTAACTTTTCGATGCAAATGTTGTAAGTATGTTCACATATACTCTATAATCCAGTAGTTTTTCTCAACAATCCAAAAAATATTACCCCATAATAAATATCACAAAACTTGATGTTATAATTAATGGATAGTCTAATCGGCTATATTCAAATAGTATGCAACCAACGGTATCCAAACTAATATGACTCGTTACAGCTGGGACTGAGGCATTGGAATGACTCGTTAAAGCTGGGACTGAGGCATTATGATAGGTAACGTCCGCGTTTTTTATCGTATAGAACACTGTCGCACTGATTGAGCAGAGCGACAGTGATGTCGTTTAATAACTCCGCTTATGTGTGGGCGCAAATCTTAAGCAAAAGTTCTGCCGCCCAAAAGTTTTACAGGCGTCAAAGGTGTTTTGTACCTGTTTTAAATGCAACGTAAAAATATTTTTATAACTTTTATTATTAAAAGTATGATTATAATTTTGTTACAAGTGAAAGTTTTTTGTACCTGTATAAAATACAAAAGTAAAAAGTTTGGTATGAAAAGACCTATTAAAATAATAAAAAAAAACCAATTAAAAAATTTCAAAATAAATAAATCCGATAGAAAAAAAAAATTTGTCGACGGTACAACCTTTAAGTAAATTCAAACACCTATACCTACATCTACTAAAGGCTATTGGTAATTATAAATAAAATTTTCTTTTGATACCCAAAATATTTATAGGAATTCGCAAACAAAATTAAAGTAAATTTGCTTTATTATTCATTTTTTCACAAAATTTACTAGAAGCATAGTGATTTTCAATGATGCAATGTGATTTAAACTTAAAGAAAAGAAACTTTGTTTGTAGCAAAATGTTTTGTATATGAAATGCTTTATTTAATCAACTCTAATGATAAATGTTTTGAAATTTTGATACATTTTTTAATGGTTGTCGTAGTTTTTATTTAAAAGTAACTAAATAGATTTTTAACTAAGCACATTTTTTGCCATTATTGTTTATTCTTTTTATTATTATTTAGATGCCCCAAGAAGATCTGAGAGTCTTGTTACACCGCCAAAGTGCATTTAACCAGGAAGTTTACACCTCTTTCTTTACCGTTAGACCTGTAAATCGAGCCGAACGAGCCAAGCTTGCCAGGGCTCGGCTCCGCTCGTTTACATATTAAGAGTGTTCAGGCTTGGCTCGAGCTCGTTTCGAACATGAGATTCTTTCTTCGAGCTCGGCTCGTTAATGGTTAGTATTGTTTGGGCTTGGCTCGTTTTATATGTTGCTCAAGCTTGACTGGTTTAAAACTCGAAATAATTATTGTAACCTGTTAATTTAAAGCTCGTTTAGTAATTGCTCTAAAACATATTGGGCCTGTTGGCAAATGACAATAGTCAATAGCAGTCTCACGTAAATAAACTATTTATATTAATCAATTGTTTAGTGTATTAAGAGTTATTTGGGTCATATCTAACACTATATTTTTACTACTATTTTTACACTAACACTATATTTTTTTTATATACTAATATTTATAATATCACAATTTTATTGATTATACTAGGTTGGTTGAAAAGTTCGCGGAGCGGCACCTATGTTGCAGTAGTAGAAACAAATTTATAACTGTATTAAACGTATTCATTCTTCGTATGAACGCATAAAAAATTTCAAGTCGATATGTCATTTCAGTCTTTGTTTACAAGCTATTGAAATTAGACGTGTCATAGTATTTTTTAAAATGGAAAATATTGAACATCGTGCTGTAATAAAATTCTTTGTGAAAAAAGGTTTAAAGCCCATGGAAATTCATAATGAAATGGTAAATGTGTTGGGTGATAATGCTCCTTCAAAAACAACAGTATGCAAATGGGCTGCGGAGTTTCAACGTGGGCGTTCAAGCCTTAAAGATGACCCTCGCTCTGGACGTCCAAAAAGTGCTACTACTGAAGAAACGATTAATGCTGTGCATGACATGGTTATGGATGATAGACGATTGACCAAACGTGAAATTGCTGAGGCTGTGGGCATCTCAGATGAACGGGTATTACACATCTTGCACGATGAATTACGTCTGAGAAAGCTGTTGGCAAGATGGGTGCCGCATTCGCTAACTCTGGATCAGAAACGCACTCGAGTAAAACTTTCTCAAGAACATTTGGCCCGTTTTCAAAAGAATAAAACAGATTTTGTGCGTCGATTCGTAACCATGGATGAGACTTGGGTTTACCACTATGATCCGAAGCTGCGACAACAAACTGCAGAATGGACAGAACCCGGTTGTGCAGCTCTGAAGCAATTGAAGGCGTCAAAATCGTTAAAGAAGGTTATGGCATCAGTTTTTTGGGATGCAAAAGGAATTTTATTAATAGATTACCTTCAAACCGGTAAAACGATAACAGGTGAATATTATAAAAATCTTTTGGACCAGTTGGATAAAAAAATTCGTGAGAAAAGACCTGGTTTGCTGCATAAAAAAATCATTTATCACTAGGACAACGCACCTGCTCATATCAGCGATGTTGCAAAGGCGAAATTGGTCGAATTAAAGTACAAACGCTTGGAACATCCACCCTATTCACCAGATCTGGCTCCGTCCGACTTCCACCTCTTTCCACATCTCAAAAAATTTCTACGTGGAAAGCGTTTCTCATCACATGAAGAAGTCATTGCAGCCGTAAATGGGTATTTTGAAGGCCTTCCGGAATCGCACTTCAGAGATGGGATACATGAATTGGAGAATCGTTGGAAAAAGTGTATTGCTCTTAAGGGAGAATATACTGAAGAATAAAGTCATTTTTTGAATCATAAAATTGTTTTTTCATTTCCGCTCCGCGAACTTTTCAACCAACATAGTATATTATTATAATATAAATAAATAAATGTATATATATATATATATATATATATATATATATATATATATATATATATATATATATATATATATATATATATATATATATATATATATATATATATATATATATATATATATATATATATATATATATATATATATATATATATAAGTAGATAGGATATGCCGGTTCTAGGACATTTTTCTTTTCAACCATATTTTCAACCATATATTTAATTAAAATATATGGTTTATTTTCAAGCATAGTGTGTAAATAGTATAACTAAGTAATAAATTTTTAAATCATTTTTTTAGATTTAAAAATCATTTTTTCAAATTACTGCTAACTTCGTTTCTTGTGTGACGTCACAGGTTCTAAAGGGACCTAGACTTTGTTAGGTCTTGAAAGGGCTCATGCTACGCTTAGTTTAGAAAGAGATCTAATATATATATATATTCAAATTTGCTTCCATCAGATAAAAGTTGTCCTAATCGATCAGAAATTATAACTGCATATGCCATAGTATTTGCTGGTACAGCTGTATTAAATATTGCTGTAAGTTGAACATTTTTTATTAATGTCTTTGATGTTTGTTTTTGTTTACTTACATGAATAACAAAAAGTGGATATAAAGCTTTATATTCTTGAGGATTTATGCTGAATTGTGGTATAAGT